CCTACCCAATGAAAATAAGTACTTTCTTTTTTCTGTAATTCATTGGTTTGAGTATATAAACACACAGAAAGTATGAGTAAATCATGGGTAACATCACCTTCTGTTCACGCAAGTTTCCCAACGCGTCATATTGTCGTTGATAGCCCAGCAGAGAACATTCGTCAGCGGATCCGTTACGAAAGATCACGACAAATCTGTGCAACACAATGAAGACGTGCGTTGTCGTGCAACACAAAATTTCACAATATACTTCGTGGCCGACTAGACTCGTTAAAGAAGAGATGTGTTGGTTTGTATTGACAGTTCCTTCTCCTTCTAGCCAGTCTGAAAGCAATGGATTCTTCTCATCGAAAATAAAAGTTAACATTACTTAATTATACTCATTCCCATGCGCATTTTTCTATGACCCTAAACTTGACAGTGCATTTTTACGTCACGAGTAAATCTCTAACAAGTTAACTTACAACTTTACTCTGCATTTTTACGTTAAGTCTTGGCAACATGTTTTAGTTTCATTTTAACAAAAATTGTATAATATGAACAAACTACCGGCATCTTTTTCACCCCCACATTGGTCAAATCACTTATTTAATGTTCTTTCATGTTTTTAAGCATTTGATAAGCGATTTCACAGCGTCCTAATTACGACGTTATGACGGTTCCAGGCAGCAACTCTAGGAATCAAAATTAATTTATCCGTTAACGGCAAACTTTCGGAGGCTTTTGATCGGGAGAGATGGCTCAGGGTATCAACTGATGCTACTGCAGGCCCTCTGACTGGAAGGTTATGAGTTCAAATTCCGAGGGTGCAGTAGCAGGATTTTCGACACTAGCCAGATAACTAGGACGAATTCAGCCGCAGTCCGGAGGAGAATTCTAGCGGCCGGCTGCTCGGGTCGGTAGTTTTCCGTGATTTCTCCGATCCATAACCTCATTTGTTAAGCAAACAACCTTAACAAATAAGCCACGGACCGCGCGCGATCTTTCCTACCTCTTCCTTTTCCTATCCTCACCCATTGCACACACACTACCATATGCTAGACATCACTGGAGTCCGGTCGGGAGCTTAGAGTTTGTCCCAGCCGGTGGGAGATACCTTGTTGGTGACAATTCCACTAGTCTCCGGTGTGTCGGTGCCCGATCTCGCTATCTAGTTGGGGAAGACCACCGCCACCTCCCGAGAAAAAGCATGAACTACACTTACGAGACTAATGATATTTACTAGGCTGTCCGGGTGACGCCGCGTCCATGGCGCAGGTGCCGACGTTTCGGTCGCTATTCTGCGACCTTCCTCAGGGCGTAATGCAACTGCGTTATGGGCGTTAGGCATTACGCCCATTAACTTCCACTACCTCCCTTCTCACCGACTCAGGTGTTCACACGGAACGTGAGTCCCTGACGTCTGCTGTACATCCGAGTGTTGTAAGCAACATCGTTCAGGGGCACTGTAGGCGCAACTACGATTTCTGTTCCGAATTCATACGAGTTGATCCTTGTGAATACTGTATCGTTTCGAATTCTATCTAAGACCCTATATGTGTTTTCCTTTGAATTTTGACTTGTTAAGCGTTGGCAAACTATCACGTAACCCATATATAATTTAAATCATCTCTGTATCATAGCCCACAAAATCCCAGTTTCCGTTCTCTGTTTTTAGTCTCCAGTCTTTGAGTGATATGGTTTTAGAAGAAATAGAGTAATGATGAATTAACCAAGTGGCACAAAGGATTCGAGAGGTTTCCATGATTCAGAATCGGTTTCGTGAAAAACTTAGCATTCGCTGCACTGCCAAAACAAATCCACCTGTCCGTCTCGCCGCCGGCCGTGCGTCCGATTCGCTTGCCCGCCTCTTGGCGGAGCAGGCTCGCTCGGTGGGCGCGGGCCTGCGCAGGCCGCCCAATGCACCGTGGAAACCTAATGTTATCGGCAGCGCGGTGCGGCGCGCATTGAATCACTGCCGGCCAGTGCGTTTATCTCGCCCCCCCCCCTTCGATCCCACCCTCACCCTCGCATCGCCCTTGTCCTCGCTCTTGCCCTCACTCTCATCGCATCCTTCGTCCTCATCCTCATCTTCACACTCGCTCTCGCCCTGGCACCTGCCATTTCCCCTTGCCCTTCCATGCCACATAATCGCCCTTGCCCTTCGTCCTTCACAATTGTCTTTGCTCGTTGACCTTTGACCTCGCCTTTGTCCTTGCATCGCCCTCGTCGGCGCTCCTGCCCTCGTCCTTATTGTCTCCCTCTTCCCTTGTCCCCATGTTCGTCTTCACACTCGCTCTCGCTTTCACTCTCGTCATCGGTCTCGCCTTTGAAATTTCTCTCGTCCTGGCATACGCCCTTTCCTCTTGTCCTTCCATGTCACAAAATCGCCCTTGCCCTTCGCCCATCACGATTGTCTTTGCCCTTTACCTTTGCCCTTTACCTTTGCCCTCGCCTCTGCCCTCGCCTCTGCCCTCGCCTCTGCCCTCGCCTCTGCCCTCGCCTCTGCCCTCGCCTCTGCCTTCGCCTCTGCCCTCGCCTTTGTCCTTGCATCGCTTTCGTCCGCGCTCTTGCACTCGCCCTCATTGTCTCCCTCGACCCCATGCTCGTCTTCACACTCGCTCTCGCCTTCACTCCCATCATCGCTCTCCCCCTCGCAATTTCTCTCGCCCTGGTACCCGCCCTTGCCCTGCCCGTCAACTTCACCCTTTTGTTCTTGCCCTTCGCCTTGCCCCTTGCCCCTTGCCATTGCCCATTCCCCTTGCCCTTCGACGCCACCTTTTACAATCACTCTCGCTCTTCACAATTGCTTTCACCCTTTGACCGTACCTCCATCCTTGCCTTCGTCCTAGCCGTTGTCCTCGCCCTCGCGTTTCTAATTTATCTCGCCCTAGCACCCCTTCCTTTCGCCTTCGCCCTTCTCCCTTCGCTCTTGCCATTAACCCTCGCCCTTGCCCTTCGATATCACCCTTCACAATTGCTTTCAACCTTTAACCTTTGCCCTCGCCTTCGTCCATGCCATCGTTCTCGCCCTCACTTTCGTCTTTCCCTATGCCCTCTTTTTCTTCCTAGCCACCTGTTTCCACCTTCTTTCTCCATCGCGCCTGCCGTCGTCTTCGTCCGTGCCCTCGCTCTCAGGCCTACGCTGACGCCATCTTCCCACACCAATTGCAACCGCCGATATCCGACTCGACGACCAATGCGGCACTCTCAGGCTATTCGCCTTCCCTAAAGAAAGAGATCCTTTACCCTACTCTCAAGCGTATAGATTGGAACTTTTATTTAATTTCTACCTGCTGTCAGTAAACTGTTGAGGTTTTTTATCGACAAATACCTTCTTTGAGCCTTTAATGTTTATCTCACTTGAATTTTTATCTCACTCGCATGAAAAAGAAGACCTGTCATCGCACTAATGTCTAAAAGCGACGATATGTAGTTCTACGAAAATTAACAGTTTTAGAATTTTGTCTTGATGCTTCTCTTGGATCTAAGGTTCTTTTCAGTTTGACGAATTTGCAACGTGGCTCTGGAAAGAGCAGCAGATTCCTTCAAAAGAATGTTTTGTATATATTCTCCAATAATGAGAGGAGTACAATGATAATATTTTGTTATATCAATAGTCAGCAAATGAGAACGCATTGCTCTATGGTAAAATTCCAAAACGTATTATTAATATGTATCCAAGAGAAAGAAATTGATGTGATACATGGAGACTTTGATAAGAAAAACGTGATAAACCACGTTTTAGTATTTTTTCTTGAATATTAGGTATTATTTTTCACAAGCACTAAATATATTTCAAATATACCCAAACATTAACGAAATTCGGAAAACCACACAAAAGCTTTTCCTTTACAGAAAAATAGATTGCTTTCGATTCGTAGCTTACAGTTTCATTTTGTTTCATATTATAAACAGTATTTTGGGACGAAGTGTTATAATTTAACAATATAATCGAATGTATTGTTGCCTCTAAATATTTTAAAACAAGTGTTATTGTAATGACTTGCATTTAAAACTGTCAAATTAATTATATGACCTCTGAGAGATGTCCATTCCAGGATGAACAGAGTGACTCACTCAAGGTGAAGGGCAGCCGCCCACGCGTTCTAGGTCTTCGGGCGTAGGAGCCGTAGGGCTCTCCGACGAAATAGGCTCCCGAGCGAGCGCATCCGCAAAGGAGCAGCAGCATCAAATATTCAGCGCCCCTGGCCACACAACCAAGAGACCCCCGTTTGGGGCGCATAACTACATTTGGTGATGCTCCTATGTGCGCGGGGGTTGATATAAAGTCGTTATCGAAGCGAGCACTACACCGCCATCAGGGTGGCGGCGAGAGAGACATCCCCTCTACCAAGAGACTACTCTTATACCTGCCTGCCATTCCTTATTCCCGTTCTAGAGCAGAGGCGGATTCACGGCGCCCCCCCTGAAGACCTAGAGTTTCCGTTTGTTTTCGTTCTTTTCTTTGCCAAAATTGATTAAAATATTTACTTATGTCAGAATTATGAAATTATTTAAAAAATAATATTGTATAGATTCATAAATACACTACAAAAATAATATACAATATACTAACAGATGTTTATTATTTAACAAAAATCTATGATGGCCCCCTCCAAAATGATCGGCTGGATACACCCCTGCCTTTGACAATATAGACCGCCACGGTAGATTTGTATGATTTGACTAGGAAGGGGATGAGTAGGAAGATGTCTCATTTAAACACGTAACAAAGTGTTTTATAAATTATCGTCTGTTTCTAAGAGGTACTCGAAAATTATCGACGATAGTTTAAACATTCATTTTAGTATAAAAATATGAAGGTATGCCGTTTCTACCTATACCAGCATTTTAATGTAGATATTGGTATTAAATACAAATATCTTTTTAGATCTAGCATATCTTGGACAATATTAGAAATTATTTTATCAACAGGATAGTGAAAATATCAAACAATTTCTGAAATTCTATTTACTACATTACGCCCTTCATTTATTATATACTTCTCTGAAGTGTTGCAAGATCACGCTAGTGTCTTGGCGTCAAAGATGGCGACTTACATGGTGGTGTGGTAGCCCAATGTCGCTTGACAAGCGCTTAACCGTTTCTTCGTCTTCTCTAAGGATTCTGATGAAAATTAAGTTTTAATTGTTGGTTTTTTGTAAAGGAAAATTAATATTTGTTTCCATCTCAAGATGTCATCAGACGAGGAATGTGATTATATGTCTGAAAAATTTTTGACTGATTGGTAAGGTTAAAGTACAATAGAAACATGTTGTTAATTTACTATATTAATCTTTTTAAATCATTGTCTTACAACTGTAACATTAACGTCCTGTGCACTTCAATTTTTTCCAAGTGCGTCACAAGACATCCGACCGGGCCTTTTATTTAACCGATCTCAGAAAAGAAGTCATGAAATGTTGAAAAAGCAAACACGAACAAATGAGGAAAATAAGAAGAGGTTTCGCCCTACCAAACATGTTGAGGAAGAGCGCCGTCAAGAAGGTCTCTCACAAGCCTTAGATTCAAGTAACAAAGGATTTGCTCTGTTGCAAAAAATGGGCTATAAACCAGGTTCTGCAATCGGCAAAACAGGTGATGACTAAAGTGTAACTTGAGTAGAATATCTGTAAAAGACTTTATCGTGTTTCCCTCCTCATTTAACAAATACTTACTGTCAATTTGAAATAGGAGGGGGACGAGTTGATCCAATTCGAATTGAAGTAAAGGCTGATCGCCATGGACTTGGTAGAGAAGCTGCTTTAAGAGAAGTGGCCATTCGTAAAGCACACTTGCGCAAGCAAGCTCTGCAACGTAGAGAACAGTTAACAAGTGTTGACAGCTATCGTTCCAGACTGGCACGTCAGCAAGCTGAAAAAATGATGGAAGCTGATTTGTTCAAAAGCCAGAAAGTGTGCCAACAACTAGATATAGAAAAGGTTTTTATCTCCTTGTATTAACATATTTTTAGAAATTAATTTTTGCTTTATTCATATTGATATGAATAGAATATTTATTTAGCATGAATACTTATGAGAGGTTGTTCTTTCCAAGTGAAGCAACTTTTTTTTAATTCATTTGAGGCAAACAAAACAAGCAAGATCCTTCTAATATTAACCAGCTGTGTGAGAATTCTCCAGTCTCTTGTTCCTCCATTGTTTTATTACCATTCACTTCATTATTGCCCATCTGACTAATGTGATTCATAGCCAAGTCAGTTGTCATGCATGACATTCCAAACCTAATCTTTGAGATTTTTCATCTCTTGGGGGCAACCTCACAAGTTAAAAATCCTTAATAAGTCCTAATTAATGACTTTGTGCATAATTAAAGTCTACTGAATGATAAAAAAGGAAAATAATATTGATTTTAACAAATAAATTCAGTATTAGTTAGTTTATTTTTGAACTGTATAATTTTAGAAGTCTAAATATGCTTGAATTGTACCTCCGCTTCTGGGTCAGTGACCCCATCTCAATCAGAATTTTTGTCCAGTTTCCCTAATTCTTTGAGCAAAGTTTTTTCACCCATTGTTTTGCTTCTGGGACTTCACTATCTGAGCATGTTGTCTTAAACTCAGTGGGGAACACACATTATTTAACTGTTTTTGGATGTTAAATGAATAATTAAATAAATACATTTACTCAGGACTTAAAAAATTAAGTAAACCATGTTTTCAGTATTTTCTTTTTTCATAACATTGACTACTAAATAATATTTTGTTCCAAAGAATGAGGAAGTTCCCACTGAACCATGGTTTTGGCCAGCAGTTAAGAAGGATGAAGAACAAGGAGAGGAAGAAGCAGAAGATACCAGTGAGGACACTGCAGATGAAAGTGAAACTGCTATTGAATTTGAGGTAATTGTTTTATTAATACGTTCTATTAATTGCCAGCTGATAATTTAAGACTGGACTTGTAATTCTGTAAATTAAGACACTGTTTCTTATTTACATTTATTTTCTGTAGTTGTTAAAATATTTTTAGCAATATCATGATAAAATATTGAATTAGATATATTGAGAAAATCATTGGAAGTTTGAAGTAAATATCATTTTGGGTAAAAAATGATGCACTTTTGTTTGTCTACAGACTCAAGAAAAGCTGGAGATACTAACACTCTACCTTCGAAAAGCTCATCTGTACTGTATTTGGTGTGGCACAAAATATGATGATGACGCAGACCTTTCACAAAATTGCCCCGGACCTACTAGAGATGATCATTGAAATTCATGCAAGGACTAAGGAATATCATTTTTTCCTTCATATTATACATGAACAGTGATTGTTACCAAAATGTTAAATTTCCTTTTTTCTGGAAAATTGTCCTTTTTGAATATTATGTGTTACCTGTTTTTCTTATTCATGCACACGCATGTAACTTATGTAAGAGTTTAATTCAGTGAAAATTGATGATGTTTTTGTACATATTGTGTATAAAATCAGGTTCTACATTGTTTATTTTTCAAGAGTGTTGATTGGACAGAGGCTGAAAATAAATAAGTTTATATTAAGTTTTAATCCTAAAGCTTGTAAGATACATTTTATGTTTTGAAGAAATTACTTAATCGAGTAAGATAAAAATGTCTATAAAGAGGGAATCATTTCAAGTAGAATTGATTTATAGGCTCTCTGCAGTCAGTATGGTAAGGTTTCAGATCATAGATTTTAATAACATGCTTTAGGAATACAAGGGAACACTTTTTAAAGAAAACAGCTTTGTAAAAATGCTACTGACATTTTCAGTAATCACGATACTGAATACAATGGGCAATTTGCTTTTGTACTGAATAGTCTTGAGATATTCATGTTTTAAATTTTAATAATTGAATTGTGCAGGGAATAGATATTTAAACAATGACAGCATTGCAAGGGAACAAGCCCATTTTAATCTTTAAAACAACCACTTTCTCTTTAGTCTTCATGGTTTCCTATAACAAAATATTTGACTCTTTAATGTAATGCTCTGTTTCACTGGATGGTTTTGCTGGTTTATGAGAATATTATTTCAAAGAACAAATTCTAAGGAATATATCTTTAATTATTTTTATTCACCCAACATGTTGCAAACAAATGTTTTTCAGGAAACTTTTTGTTTTGATATTTTAAGATGTTTATAGCTCAAAATTCACATTTAGGTGCCTTTCTTTACATAAAAATGTAAAGAGCAGTTCATTATTTCTAAATTTAAATATGGTGATAAAAGCTGTCATATCTATTTGAGTTGTTTCTGTAGTTAAAAAGAAATACTGTAAATATAAAATTTTATAATACATGCTTTTGTATCTTTCACTTTTGGAAGTTCCTCTAATTGCCATTTTGAATGTTCCTCTAGCACATCCTATTAGGTCCGAGAATACTCACAATCTTACTTGTAAATTTATCTTGCAATGTTTCTTTCGTAATGTGATATTCAACACCTTCTCAGCCATAAATATTTTCAACATTTTGATAATGCAACAAACTCTGTTCTTGGCTATCCGGGATGAGCCGTGTCTTGGTCAATTGTACTGATCTTTCGGTCATCTTGCTGTGGCCTTCTTCAGCAGTATAGCTTTGAAGAAGGCCACAGCAAGATGGCCGAAACGTCAGTACAATTGACCGAGATGCGGAAGCCTAAGAACTCAATGAAACAAACTCCTCAGACTTTGTAGTGTTTCAATTTTCTCCCTTCCTGGTAAAGCCGTGGTCTGGTGAAAAGAATTTTTGAAAGGAGTAACAATAACGTGCACTTAATGATCCTTGCAATTTATGTGTTCGTCCTCTCTTCTATGCTCTCATGGTTCTTTCTGAGAAGCTTACTTTTAGTATGATTCAGGATTTAATTACTTTTTGAATTTCATAGAATGAAATGAACCTCACTATTTGCCACGTATTAGTACATTAACGACAATTGGCTAAAGAAGTTCATGGGTAGGAAACTGACTGGCGGTGTATTGACAATTGGAGTGCTATATGGTTTAAGCTCATATAGATCATACACATTGAAGTTTAGTATAAGATTAAATAGTGTAGTAACTAATTTCACAGGTACAATTTTCTAAATGCTACTTTATTTTCATTTGTGTGAACATGAAAGGAATTCTGAAAGGATTTTACATTGTTTTGTATCATATTATTATTTTGTAATCTTGTGAATGTGTGTGATTAAATAACTAAATATGGTATTTTACTGATTTTAGGAAATTTCCATGCAAAGATTGGAAGGGAAACATGAAATAGTAAGATAGTAGGTATTCATACAATACATTCTGTAACGAATGATAGTGGCAAAAGAATGATACAATTGGCACAATCATAAGATCTTATTATAAGCAACACAAGATTCACCCATAAGAATATTCATAAAGGGACCTGGAAAGCACCAAATGAGAATGTGGTAATTAAAATTGATCATGTACTGGTGAACAGAAGAAGCGTGAGATGAGTTGTAGACATCAAAGTATGCAGGGGTCCAAACTGTGATTCTGATCACTTCTTCGTAGGAATTAAAGTATGAACAAGAATTAATTGAGAAGACCTAAGAAAATACACAAAAGCTAGAAAATGGAACGTAGGCAAACTGAAATGAAGGCAAGTGGAATTACAATATAGAACAGCAACAGAAGGCCCTAATGAAGAAAATGAAGCTTCTCCAAATATAGAATTGGGATGGGATAACATCAGAAGCTTCATAGGGGACGTTGCTGACAAAACTTGACAATAAAGCCCAGAGAAGAAACACAAGTTAGTTTGTTGATGAATAGGAAAGCCATCGCAGTAAAGAATGAAGCAAGAAGTAAATGTCTCCTTAAAGATACAAGAATAAAAAGAGAAAAGTGTGAGCAAAAATGAACAGAAGCTAGGAAACTATCTAGGGGAAAACACATGAAATATTAAAAAGAGGAAACCAGAAATCTTTTGGACTACAACTGTAAGGACAATAGAAAATTCTACAAAAGGATAGAATATCTAACAAAAGAATTTAAGCCAAGATTGAAAGATCCTTTCAGAGCAAAATGAAATATTGGAAAGATGGAAGGAATATTTCAAGGAGAAAACCCTCGGGAATGTAATGGGGAATTCGATAGTAAGAGGTACTGGGGGGCGGAAATAGAAGAGCCCACTTAAGAAGAGCTAGCAGCAATAGTAAAGAACTTTAAGAAGATGAAAGTTCCTGAAAATCATAATATAAATGCTGAACTTGTACAACAAGGAGGCAAATAGCTGCAAAGAAGTATATGTGAATTGTTGAAAGCAATATGGAATATAGAATTAATGCCATCTTATTGGAAAACAGTAATAGTGTGCCCAATTTATAAGAAGGGAGATAAAACTGAATGCAGTGACTATAGGGGAATATTCTTACTTAATATGACATACAAAATATTAGTGGTAATCATAAATAATAATTAATAAAATGTACTAAAGATACACTTGAAGAGTGGGTTCAGAGGAAATAGATCTACGGTGGATAATATATTTCTTATGGGGCAGAAGTATGAAAAATGCCACAAGCCTATCATAGAACTACATATATTGTTTAGTGATTTTAAGCAAGTCTTTGATCCAAATTAATTAAAAGACTGAAAGAAATAAGAATACCAAACTAGTTAATCAAATTGATTAAGATCAACTTTCAGTATGCAACAGGCAGAATTCAAGTAGAAAACCTCCGAAGAAATCCCTTTGATATTTCAACCCGGGTAAGTCTAGATAATCTACTATCAGCAACTCTATTTGACCTAATATTAGAAACTGTAATTGGGAAATTGGATGTAAGAGGTGAGATAACCTTTAAACTGTCGCAGGTTATTGCCTATGCAGATGACATTGTCATAATCAGGAGAAACAAGAAAAACAAGTACTACATCTTACTAGATTTACCCTTGAGGAGTATTAAACAAATACAGACAATTACCAATTTCAGAAGGTAGAAAACTTCAGTTACTTGGGCACTTTGTTAAATGAGCAACATTATATCCAATTAATGAAACCATTAGAAAAGGACAGAATGCTTATTGTGCTAATTTAAAACTTAAGATCAAAGTCGATAACAAGAGAGATAAAGTTGAGAATTTTTAAGATCTTAATATGTCCAATTACAATGTATGCCTCAGAAGTCTGGACCCTCAATGAAAAAGATATCAACCAGATTAGGATATTTGAGAGGCAGATATTGCATAGAATATTCAGCCCAATCCAAATGACTCCTGGAATATGGAGAATTTGAAAATCTAATAAACAGTAAGAATATAACATGTTTCATTAGAACCCAGCAAATAAAATGGATAGGCTATGTGCAATGAATGCAAAGTAGTAGGCTCCCAAAGAAAATTATGGAATGGACAGTAACAGTTTGACAACAGAAACGAAGACCAAGAAATCAGTGAATGGATGACATGTGCTAGCAGGGTGCTTAATGAAAGAAAGTGGAAAGTGACTGTCATGTGGAGGAAGAAATGGAATAATAGTTCTGAAAGTCAAGATCCACAGAGGGTTGTAGTGCTAATGGAAGAAGATTTATATATATAAATAACATTGTTTAACTGATATAATTAACATTGTTTGCATGTTTGAAAAACAGCTATTTTATTCCTTTCAGATAGAAGCATTTAAAAAATTAGAATGAATTCAAATTGTAGATAGAATCTTCAAAACTTACTTCTCTGCAAAATTTTTCTAAGCCATGATGGTCCATGGCAAGAGAGAGAAGGTTGTGAAATATTGGTCATTGCCAAAAAAAAATTCCTTTTTTGGTATATCTTTTGAGGAAGCCAAATGAAAATACTGCAGAGATTTTTTGTAGCATAATTGCTTCAAGTGCTCTTCCATTTTTATTATCATGTATGTGAATTTAATGAATCACAAATAAAATTATTAAGTCAGAATTCCCTTCATCTTAAGGTATATCATCTCTGCTGTGTGTTGGTGTCACTATTTCATTGACACATTAAGGAATAATTATGCTGTCACTGGAGTTGTTTAAACAAAGCCCAGTAATGGAGACTTTCGGTCTGTCTTTAGAAATCTTGAATACAGCAATTTTATTTACATTTACACGACCACAGTTGAAGTGTGCATAAGCATTGGTAATTCTAGAAATTGGAAATATAATTTTAAAACCTTTTGATAGATGCCCAGACTTATTAATGATCATTGATGCAATCTAGTAAAAACATTTTTAACTGTAAAGTAAATGTCGGAAGAAGAAAAAACAGGATAGTCTGAGAAGTCAAATGGTAAGTTTCTCCACTAAGCTAATAGCCATTAGATTGTGGTGTCTCTTAAAATTCATTTCCACTTAAAAGCATTTTTAGTAATGTTCTGAGTTTATAATCCATGGAGTCTTGTTTTCTCTTTTCCTTCTGGATTATTTTAATTTAGGGTCATATTAAATATCATTTGAAATATATTGCTTCCATTTATTTTATACAAACTGATGTACTATTAAATGTATCATCTGGCTGGCTTAACTATCTTTCAGTGTGCATCATTTAGTGGGCAGTATTCTGTTTTATGCTGAAAGTATGAGCCACTTGAAAATAAGTTTCCATTCATTTTCTGTTACACAACTATCATTTTGTGAAATAAAGTATCATTATCTAAGAAAAAATAATGGTCATTAATTCATATGCTACATAAATCATATTAGGCTACTAAAATGTCTTGGTTTGAAATAAAAGCTTCTCAAAAGATTTAAATTCAGTTGAATTATTTTAACTTTCAAATCGCTAAAATTTCAGAATGTCTTTAAATTTTTAATTTCTTGAAGTATAAGAAATTCCGAATAATCTTTTGTCTATGAACATTTTTGGTTAAACAAAATCTCTTTTGGTAATATGTGGAGAATATACACATTACATCCATGAGAAAGTGCCTATATCTTTCATTTAACTAAATCGCATGTCAGTGAAGTACAATGTTTAATATACCTATTTATTTACAATACCAATCATTCTATCATCTCTTAACCTCCAAGACACTGGATAGAGAATACATTTCTTTCGTTAGTATGACAACAAAATGGGCACATTTAAATGGAACCCACTACTTCCAATACATTAAAAACAATAATGAGGTATGGGTACATGCAATCTGTTTAAATTTATTGACATTATAGGTATTTTATCTTGAATACAATAATCTTTATTACATTAGCATAATTGCAGAACAAATAAGGTTAAGCACTGAAATGCCTTGCATTTTGTTCCCATTACAAGTTAAGTAATATTACACAAAACACAAGATCAACAATTAATTTTATACTTGAGTTTTATTTACACAGTGCATCTTTTAAAATAAGTAAACTGTATGTATGTCCTAGATTTTTTGAGTTCAGAAACTCTTGCTTTGAAGAAACAAATTTTGACAGTCGATTTAATGCAGAGGTTTTAAAACTCTGGTGGATAAATCTCAGAAGGAATTTGGAAATAAATATACTATTCGCTACTTGGCACCATCACATTATTGTTTAGGATGAGCAATTTCATTGTAATTATGTTCAACATTGTAAGTTAATGTAGAAGACTTAGTCACTGTTTAAAAATGTTGAATTGAAATTACTGCCAGTCTAAAAGCCAGTCAGTAAATTCATATGTTTACATTACCAGCAATTGTAATTAAAAATATTAAAGTGACCAACAAAGCCACACCATTGTTAATGATTTCTGTAGCTGAAAATATTTCAAACATTTATCTCCTTTAGCTTCAAAAGCAATGATTTTATTGTAATTGATACTTTTCTAGTTAAGGCCTCTGTTAAGTTTCAAAACCTCAGCACATAGGAAATAGGGCACATTTCTAAACATGTTTACTTTTCACATGGTCAGTTGGTGCTAAACAGAGGTTAAATGGAGTTTTATTAACATCCCACATGCATCGCTACAATTCTAACTTTGTGTATATATATGTATGTATTAGAACAAATATTTTTGTAATATAATATTACAATATCACAACACTCCAGTGATTAATATATTCATATTAATGTCTTTCATTGTTTATTAAGGTACACAAGTGATGAAGGAGAGGTCTGAAGAGGGAAGCCATAAATATGCTTGAACAAGGAAAAACACATGAACACAAAATAAATCTCTAAAATTAAAAATCAAGTTTAATAAAATAACAGGTTTAGTACAAATTATTAAAAATTGTAAGTGCAAAATTTTTTAAACTGCATAAAAAATAAAATTTTCAAAAACTGGAGAAAAACAAACAAATGCAAACAAAATGGACGGGAATGTCTCTTAAAACTACTTCTACTGTCTCTCCATATCTGGAATGTATTGTTCATAATGAAATCCCATATACATGGATAAGTTAAGATGAACGACACTGTCATCTAAGAGGTTTTCCAATACGCATGCACACTCGTGGAAAGAGGGTCGTTCATCCAAATCGACTTGCCAGCATTGTAGCATCAATTGATACAAATCATCACTAACCAATCGCAGCTGGGGTAAGCGTAAACCTCTCATTACACGTGGACCCACTTCAATGGTATTCACATCAGAATATGGTGTTCCACCTAATGCACTGATTTCCCAAAGAAGACAACCAAATGACCATACATCGCTCTTGCTGACATACCGACCACTTCGAAATATCTCTTGGGCTGTCCATCGGGTGTAATCAGGAATTTCATTCCCTCTGCTGAACTGGGCAATCCCAAATGCAGTTAATTTAGGCACAACACCATGTGCCATTAGAACATTTCTAGCTGCAATTTGTTTGTGAATTATCTTCTGTCGTGAGAGATAATCCATGGCACGTGCAATACCAGCCGCAGTTTCCAGGAGCTGCCTCTCAGGAAGAGAACACACTTTGTGTATTTCTGAATCCTCACCAGATGGTGTATGATTGAGACTGCGACTTTCAAGTAATAAATCTTTCAATGAAGCAGGATGGTGTTCAACCATTACGTAAAGGGTTTCAGGGCTTTCACATATGCCTACCAGTTGAATGACATTGGGAGTATCGCCACCAGCACTGCGGATCAACACGCCCAAATCCTGAAGCATTGAATGTTTTTCAGCAGGAATCATCTCGCCATCAGGAATGACATGAACAGCTACTGGCACAGGGAAGCCTCTCTGTTGCACAGTGCCTCTCATTACATTGCCGTAGCGCCCTATACCCAAAATGTGATTTTGAATATCAAGAAAATTTCGGGGTATATTCCATACTTTTTCCTTCAGCGTTTTGTAATGATCAACTCTTTCTTCAATTTCTTCGGGAACATATGCATTATGTATATACCCTGAGGATTCCACTTCAAAAATCGGTCCTTCTAAAGAAAGTTCTTGATGTTCAGCTGTTCTTCGGGCTTGCCGTGCAACTCGTTTCCTCAAAATAAAAAAAACTACTATTGATAAAACTAGCAAAGTTCCAAATACGCCAACAGCTGCTGAGAGTCCAACTTCAAGTCCAGAATTAACATTTTCAACCACCATATTGTTTCCAACATTCAATATCACAATTCCATCCTGCTCGTGACTAGTTTTAGCATAATTTGCTTTAGTCACTCCGTTCAATGAGCTCACAACTCCTAAACTGACATGTACATGTGCATCTACAGGTAAAGGAGGATTATAATACTTCCCATAGACTTTACCATCTCCAACTGTGAATCTATTCTCATTTCCAGGTTTCAGTTTATCAGGAGTCAGTTCAGCAGCAATGTAGAAAGGCAAATCTTTCTCTCTTGATTCATTATAATTTTTAAGAAATTCTGGTTTTAATGGAATTATATCATCTTCACCAAATATGACAACTACATGATAAAAACTTATGGGTCCTTGGTCATTCATGGCTGGTAGAAGTTTAACTACCATTTCACCTTTTGAGCTTTGTAATATTTCTGGTGTTGGAGGTGGAGATGGCTCACCAATTTCAGTCCAGAATTTGTCAGAAATATAAGCTCCTGCAATCCCATCAGAATGAGCAGCTGCCACGGACACATTGTACAATGTACCAGGATGAAGATTCAAAAGTTCAGTCTTATTAGTTGAGCTAGGATACTGCCAGGTCTGAAGACCAAGACTAGTTGAACTGACGTAAGTTGATACTGGTTCAGCTATAATTAAGTAATTTGATAAGGGACCATTGGTAACTGCAGGTGTGGACCACTGAATATGGAGACTCTTTTCTGTTACATTTAATAGAGTGAGATTTTGTGGAGGGCCAGGTGTTCTCTGCCCAGTGTCATAAACGCTGTAGGAATTCTCTCCTCCACAGACTTGTGATGAATTTCCAAAGCATGTTTTGTTGCAGATTCCATCCGCATAATGCATATTCTCACTGCTGCAAAAACACTGGGACGCATCCGATATGAGAGCTAACTTATAATAATGATTCCGACACGCTTGTACACACATTTCGACTGTATAACTTGCATGCGGCATTTCATTCTCCAAGTCAGAGGCTCCAGCATTATCTTGAAAACATCCTATAGGATCGCCGATATCTTCACCTAAGCACGTCAAAAACAAACTCGAACTAACAATAAACAAAGCAGCCGTTGAGATCATAGTTCACTAACAACTACTCTTCAATTCCTTTGTAACAAAAGCATTCTTCAACGCACACTCTCTCAGCCACACCTACCCCGCAGTAACGTCTTTCTTATGAGTCACAGCATCGTTACAATTGCCAATTGCCATCTCGTCCGCAAAGTCGCTAATTCTGTACAGTAAACAACTTGACGTTTTGTTCACGGAATTTCCATCGACGGCACAGCAGCAAAGAGAATGAGGCAAAAATGGGTGGAGAGGCAAAGAGTAAAAAGAAGCCAAACAGAAAGACAATCGTGTGCGTATTAGAAAAGTTGGAGAATACACCAACAAGAAAACTGAACGATTTTAGAAAACTAATGAGGCACGAACACTTTAAGAAGGAAACTAAATTCTGGTCTTACAGGCATGGTGGGAGAAAGCACAGATATATGGGAAGCAGAGTGCACCTTGGATGCGAGCACAAAGTATACATACTGTGTATTTAATACTTCATGGGGGAGAGTATGTACGAAAAACGCCGGCAGGAAATCTGTACATCTGAACTTTAGCGACACCACGCGAGGGATGAAGGAACTGTCAATTTTCCTCTATACGCGCATCCGCATAGACGTACTTCACTTAACACCATGTAGTTATACAGTTCGGATACAAGCGATTTTTGAAATGATTGAAATATATGCTTGGTGTGCGCTATATCTTAGTTCTTGAGAAATAAAATATCTTCTGTTCAATCTTTTGCATTTATGATTTAAATGTAATAATATTTTAGTTCCGTTTCAAACAGGGCGTATTGAAATTCTTACAGAGGATTCTTAATTTGAATTATGTACATCATAATAAATCCGCCAAAATATTCTGGTTATTTTTAACTTATTTTTAAAACACCGAAATAGTCAAGAAAAACCACTGTTGACTAATATTTTGTTCAGGATTTACCTGCAAAGGTGTTCAATACCGCCGTCTAGAAGATCCAATGATTTCTGTATGAATACAATGTTCTCTATTGCTACTTATATAATCCTCGCACGTTTTCTTGAGCCCTCGCTTCGCTAGATGCGAGGGGAGTGGGGAGTTTGGTTATTTTGACAAAAGAAATTTTACGTGGAATTTTGAGTTCATTTTTCGTTGCAAAATAGTTTCTAATACACGGGAGAGAACATTTCTCGTTACCAGGTTTTGTCTACAACGCTCGTTGATATCATGAATTCTTTATTTAAATAATGTTGGGAAAGGAGTGGGGGTAGATATACGGGGCTCAAGAAAACACGCGGATACAATACGTGAATGCCAATGTTTTTTTAAAAAACTACACTCCACCATCACTGGTCTATAAAGATTAAAGAATGAGCAATTTGTAAATAAACTGAATTGATACTATTACGGAAACTCATTATTTTCCCAATAACATTTGAATAACTACTCCTATTATCCTTACTATACCATACTATTTGTGCTACAAAACGGAAGGTGGAAGATCTGAGCATCGAATAATCCAGGGGCAAATCTTGAGACATTTTGGGAGGATAATTTTTTTTTTATTTAGAATGTTTTGTTCGAATATGTCATTTTACAGACTATGTAGAATGATGCAGGCTTAACTCAGCGATACAATTTTCTTCGTTTTAATGTTTACACGATAATATCTTTGCTGAAGTTTCGTGACAAGTTATAATTAGTAGTTGCCGAAAAATTTTGAGAAGAGAAATTTTCCTCATTTCCCAGACCGTGCATCAACGTCTGAATAATCTGTGGAAATGATCTCACATCATAAGATTGTTTTCATCGCCCGTGTTTGGAATGTATCGTTTGTTTTTTACCAAGAGCTTGGGAATTAGTAATTTGGCCAATACTGAGTAAATCAGAAAATGAATCTACTGAATGTGTCTTCTTCATATTACATTCGCTGTCATTCACGAGTAGCTCCAATCCTTCTTCCCGTTTTCGTCACATCCCTTTCGTCGTCTACTCATCTACACCACACTAAAGAGTATATGCACCACACCGACATGCGAAGTGTATCATGGGGCACATGGTTTCGCTATGTGTGCCTAACGATGTGCAGGTATTTCCATCATTGAGGATAGTAATGACGACAGGCGATGAATATGCCTATAACAAGGAGGGAAAATGAAAGATGTAAAACAATATGTGTACCGCGACGTGGCATTGACGTGGGCATTTGGCAAAGCGGCGTTCTGGATAATAGAGACAGATTTTGACAGATCGTGTGAGCATGTAAACTGCGTGCCCAGGCCTCAGATTGTGCGTGACTTCTTTGAAAAACGAGCTTTGAAAGTATTCGTTCATTCAGTTTACCCGTATATGTTAGTGCATCTTGCACATGCATGCATATTTTTTATGGTTATGTATTTGTATTTATGCATACTAGTGTATTTAATTGTTATTTATTTGTTATAATCGAATGTTTTGCCATTCCCATCTTTTAGTTACATATTTTGTTGTTCAGTTCCGAGTCCACCCCAATAAGTATTTCAGAGCATTACAAATAGTTTTTATAGGAAAACTAAATTACTAAAACTTCAATTAAACTTGGTCTTGAATTAAACTAATAAAGTAATGACATCTTCATTAAAAATATTTTGGACCTCCTAAAATATATTTGTAAAATAATTATCAACTTCTATGTGTATTTAGGCGAACCCAGAAATTACAAATTAATTACATTTTGCAATCTCTCCAGTAATCTAATTGTTCACATTTAATCAAATGATTTTAAACGAAAGATAATGAAAATGTGTTAGTACATTTTTTTAAATTTAATTTTCAGTGCTTGAAATTGTGTATATACTTATCTTGTACCATTCTGCTGTGAACATTTGTTTTCATTGTGAACACTTAAGTGGTATATTTGTTTTTATTTTTCTTCAGGCTGAGCAATCTCTCGAAAAATATTTGTTAAAGTTGTAAACTTCATGTGTCCAATCATCACTGCTTTTTTATCGAATCAGTTTTATGAGATAAGAAGTGAAATGCAAAGTTGAACTAAACACTCAAAGAGCACATAAGTAAATGAGACAATTAATACGAGCCAAATAGGTCTCCTTAAATAACTGGTGACTGAATTCATGCATGGGACTGAAAGACACAAGTATTCGAGTTTCTAAGTTATTTCTGACATTTATTCCATTCCTTCTATATTAGATTAATTATATTTCATGAAAGCGAAACTGAAAGTGAAGCTTAAGTTTTATTGTAACAAATTTTTAACTTGTGGATTATGTATTTGAAATGTGTTCTTCAGGGATGTGCTCTAATGTGAACAAATTCAGTGATAAGCAATTGAAACGTGTGCAAAACATTTACTGCATGATTACTACCTGTTCGGTATAAACATTATTGTACTTGATGAATCAATTTTGTAGACACTAAGTGACAACCATTCATTCCATTTAATGGAATTATAATCGAATGGAAGTGCTTTTTATTAAGACATTTTAGAACCTGTTTATTGAATGTACATTTATTTTCAAATGAAAGTTATTGAAAATTTCATGAAAATATGAATTCAAATGAAAATAAATTATTACATTAAGTACTATTAGGAACTCTTGACAGGTAGAAACTTTGTGTTTTGTTATGTAATAGATAAGTCAAGAGAAAAGGAGGTGCCCAGATTTTTTACATCATAACTTCTTTGAAAATTTAATTTGAGAAATAAATTTCATGTGTTTTTTTTTTTCTTATTCTTCTGGGAATTAGCTGTTCTTTATTGCATTCAATAACAGTGTTGTTAATAGAGAACCGAGAAACTATCATATTAAAATAGTTTTGTGAATTCATTAAAATAAATGCATGTATTTTTTACTTATACAATGTACGATAATATTCTTGTGTAAATACTGATTAAATATTTATAGATTTCATTTGTATGTTGTTTTAGGATTCTATAAAATGGAATAGTTTGTAAAATACCTTTGATTAGCAGGCCTATTATTGATTACAATTGTAATGAGATTAAATATTTTACTAAATACTTCCAGTTTTGTAAATATTACATAAATTAAGAAATTTATTTAAATTTGTATCATCCACATGCCCAAACAACCAAGTCACTGTCATCATATTAAACATTATTATTATTTCCAAGCCCATTAATTCCTAACCAAATGATTAGAAGCTTTCTAATTTGTGTAGTTCTCTAATATGGTATCTGCAGGTGTGGATCAACAGGGAGAGAAATTTTACCCATAAAATTTTTCAGTAACTATTAATTTTACAAAACTTTCAAGCAAAAATATTTTCAGATAACCATTAAACCGAATAAAATCATATAACATTATGAATCCAGTATAGCCTGTGACTTTTAACAAAATCTGTAATGACACATTCGATATTTTCAATTTCCCCTCCCAAAATTTGCCCCTGTATCTATCTCGGGCTGGTTTCAATAGGCAGCAATGACTTGAGTCAATCCCAATATCATTTTATTTTTGCTTAACTGTTATTATTTTGTGATGTACCATACTGAAGCCGCAAACTGTTTGCAAAGGTTTGCAAAAGAGAGTAACTTTAACATTTTGAACAATTTAGAGTATTATTTTTTTTATTAAGTATTAAATTGTATTGAACGCATAAGTTGAAGTAGGAATGTACATATGCAAACTGGTTATATATTTATTGCTCAGTATTCAATTTCTCTCTATATGTCTATTAAACTATTAGTATGGGATTCTTAAACAAAAATAAGATAGATAATGGTAAGAAATTATCAGTCTATTCAGCTTTTAAATTTCCTAAAACAATGCTTCCTGACATTTACCAAAATATTTTTATTTTGAGGAATAAGTCATTCTACAATACTTTTGAAACTTTTTGTTCATTCTTAAAAGAAGAGTGATTTTCTATTATTACCTGGTAATTGTGATATTGATCAAGTATCAAGCATGGAGCATTTATTTAGAGTTCAGCGTATCTCTGGAAACTGCAGTAGTGTTTCAAATGTGAAGAAAACAAATATCAGGAATGTTGAGGCCCAGTCTATCAGAAATAATATATGTGAAGTATTTCTGACTATTCTAGTGTGTATACAGAATGCCCGGGAAGGAAATGTTAAAACTTTGGAAATAAGCTCTTAAAACAATTTTAACAATATTTTGTCTAGTAAACTACATAGATATTTCTAAAGGTTGAGTTTTAATTTAATACAATATTAGGAATTTGGAAAAGGGAAATGTAATTAAATTTATTATTTGGATTTTAGTTAGATATTATTACAATGAAGAAATTAAGGTAATCTAAAGACATTGAAAATTGGAATGTAAAAAAGTACAGCAAGTTTGACAGAAGAGGAGATGTCTTTTTTTCTTTTCTTTTTTCTCGTGGCGGAAGTCCAATCTTTGAATTTTCATGTGGAAGTTTGTATTGAAGGTAGTATATTTTGTAAAGTGATGTCCCTACTAGGAGTATATTAATTTGCGATTGGTTCAAGTAAGAATTGAAAGAAAGGATGGTAACCGCAACGAGAGGACGCAGATACTCTCAGCGGAAAATCAGAAATTTTAACGATAATTAGACATACCTCATTCTCGTAAGTGTCCTTCACGCTACCCAAAGACGAAGGTTAATTTTAAAAAATTGGAACCATTTTTGAGAAAATTTTGAAAATGTTTGTGAGGCTTTATGCAAAGAATCCTCAAAAATTAAAATATCCATTTCAAACTCAGAGAAATTCGTGTTCCTTTAAGTTGATCGAGGAATATCAGTTTTGAAGAAAATCTTAATGGTTTATGCGCTAGCCTTGATCTCAGACGGTCGGAGAGAGACAGACGTTTTGCTCTCCAACGATTTTTCGATGTCAAGGACTTACAAAACTGACTACACAAAGTGTTACAGGAAGTTGGTCTCTTGATAGTGATTCCGGAGACGTCAACTACTTACATCGTTAGTCCCGTAAGCGAAGCGCATGTTTTCTCTCGGGTTGTGGCTGTAATCGAGTTTGTTTTAATACAGTTACATTTAACAATTAATGACCTTGTGCCCCAGGAATGAATGTTCGAAAGCCTGCTGTATTCTGTTAAATAATTAAGTTCAAAATGCAGACTTGTAGGGAGAGTGTCTTAACTGTGACAACAATAAGCATTCTAAAGTTGCAACTAAATTTTGCTCAGTAAAAGCGTAGAAATGGTGCACGTAAAATACATTTTATATACCAGCAAGTGCGTATACTACTTCTTAAATAATATTTTTATTCCATTAAAATAAACTGGGTTTATTTTCATTTCATTCTCAAAGTAAAATTTACTTTTAATTTCTCAAAAAGACAACAGAAAATGTTAATAGCGCGAAACTATCATGGGGTTTTCCCAGAAAAAACACATTTTGGATGTTTCTATTAGTGTAAATTGCATTGTTACCTATTGAAATAAATCGAAGCCAATCAATATTGAAAGTATAGATATATTGTATTTAATAAAAGCGGATGATGTTGTTAGGCTAGATAACTTTCCTTTTGCTTGTAATGGTAAAAGTAGAGGTATGGGCGAGTTACTATTTTGTTAGAAATGCAGAAAAATCCTACTTGCAATTCGTTTACCAATGCAGATGTTTTGTATAACTCGGGAACGAAAATGTCTATGTTTTAAAATATTGCTAATCTTGCGATTTGTAACATTTATTTTTTATTTACTTATTTTAAACTTTTACTTATCTTTCAACTATTTACAGTTAAAATGACGGGAAGGGATTATGAAATTCAAAAAAACGTGCGCAGATAATCTTCTCCCCCATACGTGACATACAGTTTTTACTTCTTTTTTTTTTTTTTTGACTAAATAAATCTAAATCTAAAACTAGGGAGTTTTTGCACCACGAAGCGTTACAACAATCGACAACTCCATCAATCTTCTGCTCTGGCGCAGATGCACAAAAGTGATGCAGAACTCAAACTGCGCACGAAGGTTCGAAGTGCCAAAACTCCTTAACATCACCACATCCAAAGTGGAAAAACCTCAAATATGAAACTCAAGGAGAATAAATGATAGCAATGATATAGCGAAAAGCATTTATTAGAAGAGTTTGTGAGGTGCTCAAGAGTAGAGCTTCTCATAGAGCCACTCGGGTCCATGTGTATTGAGGACGGTGCGTAGCAGGTACCAGATGTCAGACGGATGGTAGCGCGGTGCCGGCCATTTTCCGAACAGAGCATGCTCAATTGCAGCTATCACAGGGGAGAGGTCCTTTGCCTGAAATAAGACGATTTATAATCGTCAAGAGCATTAAAATATTTAGAATATTATTCCAATCTACGTGGATTCAAGAGTTTAAATACATTAATTAAATTAATAAAATCAATAGTACATTATGACACGATGCTGTAGTGATGGGTATTAATACACGAGTGTGATATAACGAGCGAGGAACGAGGGAATTTCGTAAACTTCGCACGAATGCATTAATACCCATTACATAGAGTTTCATACGGTACTTTTTCTATGACTTTTGGTATCTTTTATAAATTAAACTTTTACACTGAATCGCTTCGTGGCAGTTGACATGTAGGATTCAGCCAAGGCCACCTAGCGGACAGCTACCCTACCTGCTGCAAGTGACTTTGGTTTACCGGTCCGCCTGCTAGAGAGTACAAAAGTTGCCTCATTAAGGTCACCAATTTCGCTTTTTCTATTTCTGGAGGTCTCAACTCAACCTCAGATTCACTAGACACTAAAGAATTAGTCTGTTTTTATTAGCAATCTCACGGCAGCAACATAACGCAAAATTACTTGCGTTCTGTTCTTAACGTCAGACAAATTTTCCCTCTACCACGGCGCAGCGCTAGTCAAATAGGATCAAAGTGAAATAACGAACCAATTTATTTTAAATAATATTCCACGTAAAAATTACTAATAAGAAAATAAATTAAAAGTGGTAAACGTTATATAATATTAAATGCAATTGTAATGCATATAATTGAGCGAAACATTTACTAGAGTGATTCTCAATGATTAATTACGTGTCAACTGGTTTGTAAGTCGGTTTGTAAACTTCTCTGTGACCTATCAAAAACCTGCATCATAATGAAATCTGTATCGTAATGAGTATCATTATGCAACGGGTTGCAGCCATCAAGTGATAGAATTATACACAATGGGAGTAGAAAAACAACTTAATAAAACAAAAACATTAAGTTTTGAGTTTTGTACTCAGGTCTAATTCTTCCTATGTATATTTCTGTCATATGAACGGATTTTCCTCTATATGATTTGCTATAAAACTGGAGGGAAAGTTCGAACAAGATGGTAGTCCTTCACCATAAAGTACAAGTATTATGTAAATTCAATGTCGTTACAATAAGTGACATAAAATTGTCATTCATTTATTTAAAAATTAAAGAAATAAATAATTAATGACTTAATAATTATTAACACATACATAAAGTTTAAAAAATCTTCCTTTTTCTAAAAAGAAAAATATTTTTAATGTTTGGTTAGTGGTTGGGAATGAGAAATATAGGCCTCACTGAAGTATAATTTTCTCTATTTGTTTGCTTCTGAATACTTTTTGTGACGTGAAAAAGTAGGTATTGTTGATATACGCAAACCCACACACAAGCACGCACAAAAAAAGACACTAAACATTGTCATTTTTGCTTGCGTGAGGAAATAATGCTTTGAAAAGAGTAGGCATTTTTATTTTTACTACGTATAGTACAAATTGTAAAGGTAGTTCACAAGATGGACAGACACCGTAGTAAAACACTTTCTTTGCCCGAGAAAATAGTTCGCATTTTCGAGTGATGTCTGAAGTGTTGTAGGATTGAAGGTGCAATGTAATGTTAGGTAACAGTTTCCAATAATACAAGAAAGTATGAGCTGTTAGAATACAACTAGTTCTCTTACGACTATGAGAGTAGCATTTTACTGATTCATCGGACAGAATAGCGAAGGAAGAAGATCCAGTGAACTTTAGACGACGACTTTTTGACAACCCGAGTGATTGGTGGGTTAGAACATACTCTCAAAATTCGTGTTCGCATCTTTGAAACCGTTTGGGGGCAGTGGAATATCAACAGGCAGGAAATTCTCCGTTCATTATCACCCTTGCCAGGTAGCATGTAAAACATCTGCCTAAATAAAATCCGTCGACATTTCTCGACTCCTTTGGACCTCGTATTCGCTCAGCTAGAAAATGAAACATATAGAATGCCAGAGCATTGCTGCCGTGACTGCAAAAACGAAAAAGGACGTTGAGAGCCCACGCAGTGGCAAATTCAAAAATTCCCAACTCAGCCCGCGTTGGGGTGGGCTTTTGGTCACGTTTCCGATGCCCGCATATTAGCATCTTTAACAGCAATCATCGGCAAAGGTGGGTCGGCGCATGCGCTGATGTCACCGCAGTGCTTCTGACTGGGGAGGTCCTAGGGTTCGAGTCAAGATGCGCGACAGGGGCAGGATTTTTGACTCTAGCTGCACACTCAGGTCGAGTTCAGCGGAGAATTCTAGCGGCCGGTTGCTCTGATCGGTAGTTTTCCGTGTTTTTTTCCATCAACCCCAGGCGAATTCCGGAACAATTCCTGCACTAAACGAGCCATGAACCACCGGCGATATTTCCTTCCTTTTCTTTGTTCTATCCTCACCCCTTACACAATCACATGAACTCCACTACCGCGCTTGTTGGGAGACCAGTCGGAAGGTTAGAGTTTGTCCCGGCGGAGGCAGTGCCCCGCTGGTGGGAGAAACCTGGTTGGGGAAAGCCGGCGGATTTCCCCAGCCAGCGGGAGGAGAGTCCCGTTCTCTTTCGCGATAAAAAACATGCACCGTTGACGCGCCCCGAATCACTAATCAATCAATCAATCAATCAATAAATAAATAAATAAATAAATAAATAAATAAATAAATAAATAAATAAATAAATAAATAAATATCAATCTGCGTATCGTGCGTGAACTCACGTGCGCCCCTGGATGCTCCTGCGCGCCCATGAAGCCTTTGAAGAGCAGGTGCGGGTAGTCCTTGCCGTAGGTGGCGCGCGCTTCGTCGCTCAGGTTCTCCCACGCCGCCAGCAGCGACGCCTTCATCTGGTCAGGTGCGTCCAGGATACGCGTCGCTGCAACAGGCAGGGCATCTTCAGTCGCAAAGCAGTCTTTTCAGAACAGTTATCAGCAGCTAACGGCCTTTCAAAACGAAACAGTAGCTAAAATTCGCAACTAAGTCGTAATTTAACAGCAGTATAGCATACGGTTCAGTAGGAAAAATCGCAAGCCAGCAACTAACGGTTCATTAGCACAAATCCTACTGAACAAAACCCCACAAAGTGTTTTCTTTTTCAAAAAGAAAAAAATTACGTCCACTGCTCAAGAAGTACACACTATCACAATAAAACACTATCGTATAACACTGCAATAAACTACATATTTAACATGACTTGTAAGAGTGGCCTCTTCCTTGGAGTCTTGCTGTTGTATGAGATCATCAGTTCAAAGTAGTGACGCACTGAGTATGAGAAGTGTCAGTTTGTGCTGCATGAGAACAGGCAGAATATCAATTAATATTTGCGTTTATCAGTAAAAATCGAAATTGTTTCTTTATTTTTGAATTTTTCCTGGCTTCTTGGTATCCAACAATATCTCTTACGAGGTCGGAGTCTACATGGTTTGCGTTTAGTTTCTGCACTCATTGGAAATAAGGAAAATATATTAGTACAACATGAGGACCGGATTGGTATTACCCGTTTTGTGACACGGTTATTTTTTGCTGGAATGGTGGTATAATAAAGCTGTTGGTATATGGTCCGCCAAATTAATTCAAATTTGGCGCCACGTTTCGAATAGACGAGTTATGCTGCTCTTTGATAACATTTTAGAAGAAAATATCATACATTTTCAACTTCCCGCCTTCGAGAGTCCAATCTTGCTCAAACATCACGCGAATTCCAATTGGCCAAATACTCATTTTTTGTACAAGGTGGTTTGTAATCGATTGTCAACTGCTTTTAACTATGTTCGCAAAGTCACCTTTAGATCGCGGCCGCGACGAAAGATTTACTCATTGCCAGATTTCCCGGAATCCAATTATATATCAATAGACGCGACGAGCTCGTATTGTTTGAAAATTCGAGGAGCAGCGAGCAGTTTGTAGCGATCGTGCACAGAAGCTAAGTGAAACGTATATTGAGCGCATGGAAAGTTTGATTCGGCACGCTGCCAAGCAATTTACAGCACATTTCTGCAGTTTACGTGATATCAAGCGCCAAAACGCGGCGTGCATAAGCACTAAGCGTAAACTTCGTAAGGAAAACGTTTATTTTCGACCAGACAGAGGTAACCATGACAATCTCTTCAATACTCATTGATTAGACCCGGCAAAGTAATAATCTTTGTCAATTATGTGTCTTTTTTTTAGAAATTTCTCGTCTGATGAGAACAGAGAAGGCGATGCTCGTTGCAGTTTCTGCTAATGCTTTCCCAATTCATCTGAGCAATATTTCGCAACCTCAACAAAAGCAGTCCTGAACTGTAGTGTGAGTGGAAGCCACCTTTTATTTTTATGTGTAAAGTTTTCTAAGCATTGATATTTTTTATCTATGAGTAAGATGTAGCAATCCTTTAATATCAGCTGGAACGATTATGTAGTAATTAACCATTTCGCTGTTATTGGCTCATGAGCCGCACTAAGTTTGTTTATTTATTCTCAATGTAAGCCACGGTTTTCTTTCTTTACTGTTAACGCCTGGACTCGCTTCGTTTAAAAAGCCCTTCGGTAGTCCCTTTTGGAAAGTCTCCCTTTCGCTTTTTCAGCAATTCTCTGTATTTCGGATGATCTCTTTCTGTCTTTTACTCACGTTTACTCGCGCAAGAGCCCGCTCCCGTAAATATAGTACTTGGATTGCAGATGCGTATTATTGAAAGAGTTGAAAAAAGAAAACTCTACACAATAAACTTATCTGAACAGTTGTGCTTTATTCAACACTTGCATATTGTTTGTTAATTTGATACAATACGATAGTTTGTATGCCTTTTTAAATTTAATAATATTAAATCTGGTATAATTTTGTGTTTCAAAGATATGTATTGTTCGTGATTATTTACATGTTAGTGTTAAATTGATTGTTGTGACTCATTAAATAATATAGTGTTTTTGGAGGAAAAATGCTAGCGGGCTGACCGGTACGTTAAAAAGTCACCCAGAATCGCAGAGTAATGCATTAGAAGAGAATAAAAGTATAATTGGATAACATTTTCTAAAGCGGTGTGGTGATAAAAGTAATACAAATATGTCCAGTAATATTTGACAAAACTTCAACTTTTAGTAGTGTTGATTGATTTTTCTTGTACCAATACAGAAACAACAAATGTTCCAGTTACTTTTCATTTTTCTGTGGACAAAGCCCAAAGATACCGCGGCAACGTATGTAATTCGGAAAAAAATACTAGTAAATATGACGATTTGGTTTGTGATAGTGGGAGCGAGAGCTGAGGTTGCATATTAATAGTAGCTCGTCATAGAAACGCATGTGGGGGGAGAGCGACAAAATGGCTGCGATGCCACTGGTGATGTGGTCATTGCACTCCGAGCAGCCGAGTTTGCCGACTATTGCGTCGGGGGACTCACAAGTTGTGGATTAATACGCGATCACAGTACCCCATTGATGTCACTGCAGTGCCTCTGACGAAATGTCTTAGGGTTTGAGTCCCGATGTTGGTAGGATTTTCGACACTAGCTAGACAGCTAGGTCGAGTTTAGAGTTCAGGGGAGAACTCTAGCGGCCAGCTGCTCTGATCGGTAGTTTTCTTTGATTTCTCCGATCAACACCACGCGAATGCCTAGCCAACGGGCCACGAACCGCTAGCGTTCTTTTCTCACTCATCCTTAATCTTTCCTCACCCCTTACTTTCCCACACCTACACCTACGTGGACCGCGCCATCACTCATGTCGGAAGCTTAGAATTAGTGTCGGGTGGCTGGTGAGAGACACCTAGTTAGGGAAAAACCCCGCTGGCCGACGGGTAGGTCGGCACTGGATCTCGCCATCCACCTCCCGCTTCAGGGAGAAAGAACCTGTTCATGGGCGCGGAATCACTAATGAATGAATGAATGGATGAATGAATGAATGAATGAATGAATGAATGAATGAATGAATGAATGAATCAAGCGAGGGGACTGGCTCACCTGCGGCGAAGGCGCCGGGCGTCATGGTGGCGACGTGCACGCCGAAGCGCCGCTGCTCCAGGCGCAGGCTGTCGCTGAGGCCCTCGGACGCGTGCTTGGACATGGTGTAGGAGGCCATGGGGCCGCAGTACTCGCGCCCCGCCACGCTCACCATGTTCACCAGGCGGCCTGCGCGCGCGTGCGTAAAATAAATAAATTGAAATTAAGTAAACCTAAGTGGAAATAAAGAAATAAAATGAGTAAATAAAAAAATGAAATAAATAAAACAAAAGTTTTTCAAATTCGTACGAATGTATATACAAGAGAATTAAAGTTAATTTTTGAAAGTAACTTAATGTGGTCACGCGTATTTGACAATGGTGCGAAAAACGGTGGTCGGCTGTGCGGTTTACTGTCACCAGCCAACGATTCGCTCTCTGCGATTTGGTCAGCTGTACTGTTTTGCACCATACTTGTGATTCGTTCATTGCGATTGGTGACTGTGATGACATTATTCACACCATAAATGGCGAATATGTCTGAGCCATTAAATGACATTTTATGAACGATTTCATGCGAACGAAAAGTGCCGTGTAATGCTGATATTCAAGAATATGTATTATTACTACTATCATTTCTGTTATAATTAGTATTGAAAAGAAAGAAGGAAACCAATGGTGGGCCTGTTTACCTTTGGTGCGGCGCAGCAGCGGCAGGAAGGCCTTGGACACGCGCAGCGTGCCCAGGGTGTTCACGTGGAAGAGGCGCGCCGCGTCTTCGGGCCTCGTCAACTCGGCCGGGCCGAACATGAATATGCCCGCGTTGTTCACCACGCCCCACAGCCCTGCGCACATTGCCCACGCTCCAACACTGCCTTTTCTTAGCACGATGCAAAAACAGACTTGCAAGAGGTGTCTTTGTCTCGTGGGGACGAAACTCATAACAATAGCTTTTGCGTTGTAAAACAAGTTGGGCCACCATTCTATCTAGCTTCTTAGTGGTGTTTCAAATAGATTTAATACGTTGTGTAGTACAACGTACTAAGTACTTTGTTTATTTACTTATGACAGTTTGTATGAATTAAATAAATATTATTGATTTTATAAAAAAAGGAAAATAAGTAAATCGATCGTGGTGAAAATGGATTATTAAATAATTTTACATAATTAAAAAAATGTGTTTAGATGTCCTTTTTTTGTAAAATATATTTCTTATTATGATTTTAACCATAACTCACCATTTACCGGGAGATGCTGCTGCACGTAGGCGCGCGCTGCTTCTATCTACAAAAGAAGAGATAAAATGCGAAACGAAATAGAAGAATGAAGAGTAAACACAAATTTAAATGAAACTATGAATTAGATATATTTACTTTATTCAATATTCAAAATATTATCAAATAAGTTTAATCCTGGGCTTTTTTAATTACTACAATTTATCTGCTTGTATATTAACTTCATAGAAAGTTGTTTAACCTAGGTAGAAAAGAATCCACGTACTCCCTTTGACAAAATATACTAACCTCAATAACGTAAAAAATTAAAAGTCGTTTGAATTGCGTTCAAGTTTCAACCTCAGGGTGACTGCTAAGAACAATAAAAGCTCAGGCAAACGCGCGCCAGTAGTGAAGGTACTGTTCCAGTCGGCCCTCAGCGTCCAAGGGGGATCCCCGTTGTGTGACGCACCTCTTCGTCGTTGGTGACGTCGAGCTGCAGCACGTGCACGCGCGGCAGGCGCCGGAGCTCGACTGCGCCGTCGCCGTTCGCCGCCTGCAGGCAGCCCGCGAACACGACGCAGCCCAGCTCCTGCAGGCGCCGCGCCAGCGCCAACCCGAAGCCCGAGTCGCAGCCCGTGACGAGCACCCCGCGCCCGGTCGCCGACAGGCGCTGCGCCCCCGCCTGCAGAGCCGCCAGCGCCCCCAGCGCGCACGCCGTCACGAACGTGGCGCAGGGGCACGCACACGCGCACGTGTACAGACCTGCGTGCAAAGCAAGATGGAAAAATGTCAGAAATGTTTTATGGAATTGAAATTTTTTAACTGTATTGTAGGTAACTCATAATGAATGTTACAAACTTCTAGGTCATGAAGAGGGATCGAATATGATCACTTTTTGCCAATATAGTGGGAAATTTCCATGGCCAATATAGTGCCAATATAGTGGGACATCCTCCCTGATTATTACGCCTCTGCGCGTGACCGTGCTTAACTTCGCAATTTTTGAAAAAACAAAAGAATAGAGCAATGGCGTTTATGTCATCTCTTAGGGTACAATTAGCACTATCCCTATCAATAGTTGAAGAGAAAAAATTGGAGCTGTTTTTGAGAAAATATTGTTTGTGTTATTTTTAAAATTGCACATATTGAACGCAACATTGCGACGAAAAAATGGACAAGATGTTATAGAGAGAACTCAATATGGAGAACAAATTTCATTTAAAGGAAAAATCTCTACCTGCAATGTTGTAGTTGTAGAAAAACGCCCGAAAAATTTCATATTTTCAAAATTTTCAAAAATTGAGTTAACTGTGATAATAGGAAGAAAAAAGGCCCCTTTTAAGTATATTTTGCTATATTTTTACAAGAAATTTAAAGAAAAAAATTTGCAGCCATTTTTGAGAAAATTTTGAAAATGTCCGGGGACTTGCGTAAAGTACCCCCAAAAAGGAATCAAATGCAGTTTGCAGATCAAAAATCGGACAATTCGTTCAGACGTTATCGGTAAAATAATTTCCCTGTGTTAGTGCTGCGATCTATTGAATTTTTATGCAAGTATTTTTCGGTTCATTTCGACTTAAGTAAAAGATTCCGATTCATAAAGAGTCCTTATTTTCAAACGGGTGATAAATGAGTAATTACTCATTCATATAAGGAAAGTCGCCTGTAGCGTTAAGTATTCCTCATTCGCCAGAGGATTAACTAGCTTTGGTGAAGTGAAGTCTACGAACACATAAGTGTACGCGACATGGCAACGACAACGATTTCTTAAGAGTATTTTGAATATTACACTCCAAATATCGTCCGCGAATGAAATATATCCGAAAGGCTGATAATCCATTCCAATGTAATAATGGAAATATACAACGAAGAACAATTTAGACGGTGCTTTCGTTTTCGTAGAATCAGTTGTAAATAATCTTATTCCTCTCAGCAACGAAAAAATAAATGTAACATAGAGGCTTATCAACCCCCTCTTAGAAGATGCTGGCTATAGCATTAAGATTTAATTAATAATAATAGCATTAAGATTTTACACAACTTCATTCTTTCACAAGATTGCACAAGATATTTCATATCTTGTGCAATCTTATGAAAAAATTATTTTTTCTATCTTCCCGGTAATTTTATTATAGATATGATAAATGTAAATAAATTCAATTACATTTTATTTTTAGATTATCTGCGCTGTTCTCTATAAAGCTAATCAAGCTTGAGTGTGATGAATAATTTCTGAACCTTCAGAAACTTTGGAACGTAACTTTAAGAATTTTGTAGTTTTCATCAGATCGAGAGATTTGGCATTTTGAACTGATAAAAAAGACAAAATTCTCACTTATATAGGATACTACAATTGCGACTAATATAAATTTGTAAACAAAACATACAAGTTCCAACGAAAATACACAGTTACCAAACACTGGGTCAGCTGACGGAAATGCAATGTGGCAACATTTCCGATGCCTTAAGGATCAATCAATTCTGCTCACTTATGAGACGTCTATGAAATAGAAGCCTCCTAATGTATGAGTACTTTCCTGATGATATCGCCATTGGTACTGGAGCGATATCTGCATCCATACCCCAATCACGATCATATAAAAATTAAATTGCACTCATCGTGTTTATTAACATTTGTATTACTAATTTCCAATTCTGCGCAGAACAGATAATGATAAACAAAACAAAAAACTACGCAACCTCCGGCCATTTGTGAGTTATTAAATGACTTCCTTAGATACTCAGAAACCTGATTCAATTCTCACAGTAAGTGCGTAACTGCACACAGTTGACGTCATACAAAAGCAAAGCTCCATGGAAGAGGCAGATCTCCATTAACCCAGCAGAGCTCGCACCAAGATTCCAAACAAAAATGCTCGCAATAGGAGTTTTTATTTGTATGGGAAATCATGGGAATTCTATTTTCAATGATAGCATATCATTACATAGAAGTTGAAATTGATTTATTATTTATAAACACGGAGAATATGTTACCTTTAAATTTAAGATTACTATACAGCACGTGTTAGTGTACAAAATCGCTAGTGAATTTGAATACTTTCGCAAATTAGTGCAAGAATTATTTAACGATACAACATTATAATCGAAAAATATTCTTAAACTACTGATAAAAATATAAAAAAAGGAATTTGTTAATAATATTTATTACAAAGACATTAAAAATCTTTGCTCAGGATCCCTTGGAATAGAACAATCTGATCTTAGGAAATTAATTTGAGTAAAGATACTTGCACTTGGAGCAAACACATTGAACTTTTCTCTTTTGCTTCACATTTTGTCACAATTGTCTTTATTTTTGTTTTTTTAGTTACAAAATCAGTAATGTTGACATTTGGCTCTAATGCCACTTGGAATGTTGCTTGATAATGCAAATGTGAAGAGCTCATCTCTGACATGTTCAAACTCAGATTCTTGAAAAATAGAGGCATCTAAACTTGTAAGTTATCGATTCAATTATAAACTACGAGGCAATAAATATCAAAGAAATTTGTCATAATAGAATTTGGGTCTCAAATTTCTGGCGCCATTGTAAATGTCATACACTTCAACTACTTCCAGTTTCTAACTTTGCCCTACCGCTACTTTAATGTCCAGTAACGATTTCATTTTTTCTTTTCTATAAATTATGTCAACCATTCGTCGATAGTGTGCACACCGGGACAGAAAGTCTCTCTCCTTCGTTATATGATGTCCATTCCTGTTTTTCTACGTAAAGTTTATACAATCTAAAATCTGATTATTGGATACTGTATTTGTTTTCACAGGACTATTATTTTTAATTACTACCAAACATTTTACAATAAATTAATTATATTCCCTTTGTAAATTACTAACTCAGACACTGACACTTCCGTAATTCGTATTTCGTCGGGAACTAATCTCCTTGCGTCGTCTATATGAGCAAATAATTAAATATTTTTTACAGTTTTATGAGTAATGGATGTAACTAGCATGTGTAATAAAGTAAATATTTATGCTATTCTCTTACGAGGTGTTGGTGACGTAGCTGAGGGCAGGGCAACGGGATTTGAGAAAATGAAAACTGAACACAAGGCAAAATGTTTCTTTTTTACCACAACGTTTTATAAGCAGTTTTTTGATTGATTGTAATGAAACTAAGGCGTATATTTCTGAACAGCAATGGGGCTGAATACTGAGGAAGCATGAACATATTAAGCACACGGGTATTTTTTCACGTTTCTTTACACCGGAGATTCAGCGGAGGCTGTTAAGGAATGATCTTGTAATTACAGGAAACGCCAATTGATTCATATTGGAAAGAATATTTTCTCAAAGTAATATATTAGGCAACATCATTAAATCAACAAACAATATAAAAATGGTTGCACGTAAAACTCCATTAACCGGAGTAATTCACAGTTCTTGCAGACAGCGTCGCTTGAGGTTTCCGAAAGGCGTTCCCATTTTCACTAGACATGCCTATCTCATTCGATATGATAACGTGTATTACACAATAATGCCGCTGATTGTTTGTTATACGGTTCGGAAGAAAAAACGACTACAGTAACTTACTTATGTAATAAACAAACCAAGGTATTTTGATACCACTAAATTCATAAGTCATACTACTGATTCTGAACGGATATAAACATTTAATTGAATACATTTTAAGGACCCAAACACATCTAAAGTCATTGGCGCTTTTAATTGAAGGAAAACGTGGGTGATTAATGGTCTTGTTATTCAATGAAAAAAGAACAGTTTTTTTACCAGAGATATTTTCTCTACAGGTAATATTTGTATACATTATAATGGTGGTGGATAATAACTAATTACTCTCGATGCAACATACTGATTCTCATTTACGTGAACATTTTGTGTTTCTTCGGGCAAACTAATATTTTAAAAAGGATTTTCTTGAGGTTGTCATGACTCCGGCGTTTTCCTGGATCCGGCATTGAGCAATATACTCAATATAATAATAATAATAATTATTATTATTATCATTATTATTATTAATATTATTATTATTAATATTATTATTAATATTATTATTATTAATATTAATATTATTATTATTAATATTAATATTATTATTATTATTATTATTATTAATATTAATATTAATATTATTAATATTAATATTATTATTATTATTCAGCGCAAATTAATTATCTCTTCGTTTGGATGTGCAAAATATAATTTGTCACACTCCTTATATTTAATACAGTTTTTTGGTGAAGAAAGGTAAAGTTAAACTACAACTGATAGCAAGTGGCATGCACCTCTTTATCCGCAAGGGAGCGCCGTTTCTCGCAGCGTTCGTTGCCATTACTCACCCGTGACCCGCAGCAGCCAGAGCAGCGCCACGGCCACCACGCCCGCCTGCAGGCCGATGGTGAAGGCGCGGTACGCCTCGTGCAGGTAAGGCACGCGCATGGTGCAGGGAAGGCCTGGGCGGGCGCCGGGAACCGCGGGGGAAAGTGCCTCACTGCGACAGCTCCGCCGCGCCGACTTGCCTTCTCGCGGCGCGAGCGGCCTTATCGCGGTAGGAGGGGATTGCAGCCAATGCCAATTGAGCAGGTTGCAGTCAATGTCACGTACGCGAGTGGAGGGGAGAGGAGAGTGCAAAGTTCGGCCTCTTAGCACTCCCCAGCGAACAACCGGAGGCCGACGACCGCGCGAGGTGGCCCGGTGAAGATAACTCAGGTGGGTGCCACGGCGACTGCTCTTCACCGGCTTAGGTGGCTCAGAGCATCAATCGATGACACTGCAGTGACTCTGACCGAGAAGTTGCAGGGTTCGAGGCCCGTCGGTGACAGGATTGTCGGGTGAAATTCAGGCACTGTCTGGAGGAGAATTCTAGCGACCGGCAGCTCTAATCCGATTTTTTCCGTGGTTTCTCTGATCAACACTAGGCGAATATCGGAGCAATATTCCAGCAAACGGGGTACAGACAGCGCGCGATTTTTCCTTCCTTTTCCTTGTCCTATCCGTTCCCCTTACATACACATATTTACAGTCACATGCACTACACTACCATACTCGCCGGGAGAGCTTGACCCAGCTTGGGCGGTGCTTCGTCGGTGGGAGATATCTAGTTGAGGAGTGAAGCTCCACAAGCCGGCGCGACGGGTAGGTTGGCACGGGATCTTCCCATCCTGTGGAGAAATTCACCTCTCGCCGTAAAAAAAATGCACTACATTTTCTGAACTACTTAGTACAAACTTAGCAGTTGACGTGACCGGAATCAATCAATAAATCAATCAAAGCAACTGCTCTTCGATGGGATTCGCGTTTCGCATAAAGCACGGTTGTTTTCAACTTGCCAATGTCACATGGGAAATGAAAACGAAGTGGAAGTTCTCGTACGTATATAATCGTCCATTTGGTTAGTGAATGGTAATTTTATCATTAATTAAATGCCAAGAATAGCGAAGTATTTTTAGTCATCGGTTCTTGATCTTCAACGTACCATAAGGATACGGCATACAAAGATGAAGTAGGTGATGATGAATAACAACTGAGTGAAGTGAGTTGACTTAGTTGGCGTCAAGCAAATTGAAGGAACGGATAAACTACAGGAAGAACCGAAAGTATGAGTGAAATAGGAACACTCGTAATCTTAAGGTTCGGAAACATTGTGATTATAGTCTGAATGTCACAGCCTAAAATCTCTCATTATGTACGAGAATGATGAAAAACACTTTTTCATACTACCTGTTTTAAAGGCCAAAGTACCCACAGTGCTAATGGCTTTGTAAATTCCTAATGATTAGCAAATTTCGAGAGAGTAGCAAACTCATTGCCAGTGCTCGTTTTGAGAAACGTTGGGGCGTTGTCTGTGAGCTCTTCCCATTATCTCCAATTAGAAAGATGTAAAGGGAAAACGTAATCTCAAGAACCTAAGAAGAAACCAGAAATATAATGCATTTGAGTGGTATTTCCGGAATACATTTTATAAAATGTAGTTATACTTTTTTATGATTATGAAATTGAATTATTTAATTGTAATAATTAATTATTCATTAATAAAATATGATTGACTCTACCTATCGGTGAGAAACTGATATTTCACTTGCCCTTACAGTTTTTTAACAGTAGAATTTAACATATATGTTTTATGTTAAGGACTTAAAATCTGTCAATGTTTCTTTCACAACAAAAGTAAAGAGAAACACGAGTAAACGACATACCCCAAAAAGTACACGAGAAGCATTTAAAAAATGGATGCTCCTAGAGCTTAAGTTTACCAGAAACATTTATTATGAATTTTAATTAAACTGTGTCATCGGTTGGGGAAGAGTTTTAGAGGTCATCGAAATATATTGTAATAAACATCATGCGTTTGCCACGTGTAACCATGGTTACAATTTTTCCTCGGTGCCTTATATGAAAATGCGGCGGTCATCTTGAAAAAGGAGGAAAATACTTGAGAAATGAAAGATGTTCCATATTAGTAAAGTCTTAATACACTGAAATTTAATTCCAGCTACACTCCAGCAAAAGTGTCCATTCTGCGGAGCCCTGTCGGGTCCCGCGTGTTAATGTTAATCGTATGTTTGGAAAAAAATAAAATAGATGGGAAAAAACGAGAATACTTTAAGAAAAACTCCAGCCAAGAAAACTTTGTAGCTAGGTCGAAATCAACCGCTCTCTGTAGGATAATTCTCACGCGGGTTGATATGATCGTTACTTTTCCGTGGTTTCTCCGATCAACACCTGGCGAACGCAGCGACAGTACTCTGACAAACGGGCCACGGACTGAGGGGGGTTTTCCTTCCTTTTCCTTGTCCTATTCTCACTCCTTACACACACACACACACACACACACACACACACGTGCACTACACTACCACACATGTCGGGAGACCAGTGGGGAGCTTAGAGCGTGTCCAGGCTTGTGCGGTGTCCCGCTTGGGGGGAGATATCTGGTTGGGAAATATCTGGGTGGAAAATACCCATAGCCTTCGTTTAGGTCGGCGCCGGATGTCGACACTGAGTGAAGGAAGATCACCGCCAGTCCCCGTGGAAAATCATGCACTTCACCGACGAGAAGAATGACCAATAGCTATTGATGCGCCCGGAAACACGAAATAACCAGTCAATCAATCAAAGCTCTTTATTTTAAAAACAATTACAAACACCTGAGTAGAACATTGTGTGTGATCAGACGAAGATCTTCTCGAAGAGCCACTCGGGGCAATGGGTGCTGATCCACGCGAGCAGGGTGAATCCCAGGTCCGCCGGCACGTAGCGCGGCGCCGGCCAGCCGCTGAGGAGGGCGTCTTCTATGGCCGCCACCACGGGGGACACGTTCAGCGACTGCGGACACGTCAAACCATCCGTGTTAGACACTGAGTTTTGGAAAGTATGAATATTTTGCGTAATTTATGCAGAAAATAAAAACAATTAAAAAGTATTTTTCTAAAAAAACTGCTCTATTTTTTTCGATTAAAACAAAAAACTCTACATTTATGGAAATGGGAGCAGGTTCAAAACTAGACAGTTGTGTGATAGGGAAATTTGTAAAGGATTGTTTTCTTAGTGCTTTTAATGCACCATGCAGTAAATAAGTAGCTTTTCTTACACGCTAATTTTCATTTTTGATCATTTGTGGGCGCAACGCTAATCCAGTTGTCAATTACCTCTGACCTATCAGTATCAATAAAATTTCATTCCTTATAAAAATTAAAGGCTTTCCTGAAGCGATCACATCACCACTCATTCTGCGAGACCAGCCGTGAGCTTTGAGCTTATTCCGAAAGGGGCGGTGTTACTATGATGGAGATACGTGGATGGGAAAAACCCCGCGAGCGGATTTGGAGGTCGGTGCTGGATCTCACCATCCTGGGAGTGGGGGGGGGAGAACACCGCCACCTCTCATGCAATACGCTTACGGCCGTAGCAGACGTCGTGCCCGAAAACACGAAATCAATCATTAAAGTGAATCGATCCCTAAGTAGTTTCCTGTAAAGAAAGAGAAGCGACTCACGTGCGTGGTGGGGGCGGCTAAGAGGTCCATGAAGGCCTTGAGCACCGCGTCGGGGCCGTCGGCGCCGTAGGCAGCGCGCGCCGCGTCGCTCAGGCTGCCCCAGCCCGCGACCAGCGCCGCCCGCAGCGCCTCCGACTGCACGATGCTCGTCGCTGTACAAGAAGCGCAAAGTGAATGCATGTGGGGGCCGTGCCTGCACGGTCATCTCTGCGGATTACACAAAGCACACCGACGTATTCTGCATAAAGAAGCTTGCTCAGTGTATTGGGTGACGAATATATTGAAATGCTATGTATGCTGTAACTAGAGCCCGGATTTATATTCAAATGCATTTTTGTTGCTAATAGTTACTTGGACAATGATCACATATCTTCATTAATCTTTCATCTAGAGCATTTCTGAGGAATTTTATTTCGCATATTTTGCCATACTTGACTGTTACTGTATATTTATGCATATTCAGTCTAATGTTTGAAAAAATAAGGGAAACGTGCTAATTACTTTATTACAATTAAACGTGTTGAAATTGGTGAATTATGATTGATAGTTATCGTGATTCATGAAACGGTTCACCAGTCACCATGAAGTGAAAATCCTTTTAGCCTCAAATCTGTTGCCAGTGGATGCAGATGTAGTGTATTTCGCTTGTACCATGAGCGCGACCACAGGTAAGATCAAATTTCGGGTGAGGAGGCATGGGTGGTCGAGTTCAGTGTCTCAGACTTGAACGAAATAAAAAAGCCGTGATAGACCTTGTTTTTTTTTATCTGCCAGGAAACGTTTTCTAGTTAGCAAGAACATCTCTATACCATGTGCTTGCTAGTTGTCAATAGAGCCTACTAAAGAAAGATCAATCTAATATCAGATAGCAACACGGCATACTCACTGGTGACGATCCTAAAACTGATATAAGAAGATTCTCTGTTCGCTGGCAGTTTTGTCTTGTCAACTGAGCTAGCAGTACGTGTGTAAGAGTGCTTTAGATAATCCCAAGAGTTACGGTAGTCTAATTAGAAAATTGCCAATCCGTGTAGCCGTGATCGCTGAGGCAGTAGTGTCGTGGCGATCTCGGATCGAAGGATCGCGGGTTTTGTATCCCGCCTCGGGCATGGATATATTTGTGATCGTCCTTTCACCGCTTATCATCATCCTATCACTTCATTAAAGAAGTATTAATAATTCCCTGCTTAAGCAGGAGTCCCTTGCCCTTAATGAGATATCTAGTTGACTAATAAAAAAATGTAGAAAATGAAATAAATGGTTCGCGCCATTCAACAAAATCACACCGATTTCTCAACAGGGCAAAGTGGTACAAACATTTATTTCCTTGTAAATTTTTTACTGCATATTTATTGCTTTTTTAAATAATGGCGTATTTATATGGCATATTTGAAGCATTTTTACTGCATAGAAATCCGTACTTTAGCTGTAACAGTGGTCCAAATATTGAATTAAGAAAAAAAATAACACATTACAGTTAACGTTAAAAATGTATATGAAATATGAAAATCAGAATTAAAATAGAATAGGATATATAGACAAAATAATTCCGAAAAAATCGAAATCCATTCCCAAGCGTGGGATAGGACAATGCCCTTGGGTTGTTTAGACTTGCAGGTAGGTTTCCAGATTAACCGAGATAGAGTCCAAAAAAATGACTTTAAAAACGCAAGAGGGCAAACAGGAAAAAACTAAGGCAAGATATTTCCAAATAAGCATTAGGGGCCTAAAAAAGGCAAAATGAAATCTTCTTCAAGAATTCTAGAAACACAGTTTAGTGATTTCTTAACATCATATCAAAAATAAGAAGAAAAAATAATACTCAACTTTCGTAGGCCAGCTGAATTAGCCCAGGTCAATACCTATTGCGATTGAAGCTACTCTGGCCGGTTGGTCCTATGGATCGAGTTCTGATGGATATGGATTTTCGATACTAGGAGTAGCTTGATAGCTAGAACGGATTCAGTCTCTGTCAGGAGGATAATTCAAGTGACTGGCTGCCCTGATCAGTAGTTTTCCGTGGTTACGTTGCCCAATACCAGGCGAATGTCGGAGTAATAACCTAATGGCTCAGGCCCAGATTGGCGCCATCTTTTATTTTGTTCCTTGAATTCATCTATTCTCTTTTACACACATATACATAGTACATACGAGTATACATATATAGACACATATTCGTATATATACATCCATCTTACATACATGCAAACACATTTCCATGGACTACGTACCGCACACGACGAGAGTCCAGTCAGGATCTTAGAACTTATCGTGGCTCAGGCGGTGCCACGTTGGAGGAGTTACCTGGAGGGATAAATCCCTCACTAGTCGATGTATGAGTCGGCACCGGATCCCACAATCCAGCTCGGGAAGCACATCACCACCCCCACGTACAACACGCACCACACTTACGGTACTAACGAAGTTAACGCGATGTCTTCACATCGATGGAGCTGGGCTACATGAATGAGCCACACGCTAGCGTTGCGGCGGCACTGACCTGCGGCGAAGTTGCCCGGCTCGATGACGGCCACGTGCACGCCGAAGCGGCGCTGCTCCACGCGCAGGTAGTCGGCGAGCGCCTCGGCCGCGAACTTGGACATGCCGTACACGCCCATGCCCGGCCCGCAGACGGCGCGCCCCGCCAGGCTCGTCACGTTCACCAGCCGCCCTGTGGGCACAGCGAGTCCGAATAGCCTTAGGGCCCCTTCCCACGGCGCGGCCGCAGCGCGCCGCGCAGCAGCCGACGCCGAACTCCAGCTACGCGAAGCGGAGGTGGGGCCACGCGCCACCTCTAGCAGAACACAGCTTTAAATGGGAGTGTTCCCACTGCGCCGCGGCGGCAGCGTTCTAGCTGCTCCGGTCCCTTTGTTCGTCGTCGCCGGAGGGTCGGCGAAACCTACCCCTCCAGACCCCACCCCCTTCCACGGCGGGCGGCGGTGCGGCCGTGGCTCCGGCGGTGGCTGCGTCGGAAGAGCTCTGCTCCTTGAAAGAAGCGCGCCGCGGCCGCGCCGTGGGAAGCCGCCCTTAGGCCGCTTGCCCACGCCGCGGCAGAAGCGCGCTAACGTCAATCATCAGGGCTCTTCGCCGACCCTCCGGCGACGACGGACAAAGGGACCGCAGCAGGTAGATATACAATGCTGACGGCTGGCGTGGGCGTGGAGCAACAGTGCCACTTACTCGGGCGGTAGAATACATTTTCAGTAAACGCCGTTGCTACTCCGTTGCAACTACAGCACTCGACGTAGTAATCATATTCATCAGGTGACAGTATCAACAGCTCACTACAAAAAATTCACGTATAATACACTTACTTTAGTAGAGTGAATCACAAGCACAAAACTCAGTTTTGGCCACAAAGAACAGATGTTGGAAATTTTTTTTTCACAAATAGAACAATAACGGACTGGAATAAATTGCCAGCGACAGCCATGGAACCCTCTCCTGTAGGTGTACAAATTTTAAAAAAAAATATATTAACTAAGAACATTTCTAAAATGTATTAGGTAGGTAGTAAGTTAGGCTTATTAAAATAGTTATTATTTTATTATAATTGTTATTTTTATTAGTAGTATTGTGATAATTACTTTTAAATGCATTATCTTATGAAATATAAATTATATTTAATGTAGTAGTTGAATTGGAGTGTCGCGACGTGTTGTGAAGTGTGGTGAAGAGAAAGGCAGTGTATTTATTAGTTAAAAAATTCGTACACGATAGTCATAAAATGTAGAGTTAATGCTGTTATTGTTATTATTGTCTTTATTGTTATAATATTATTATTTCCATTAGTGTCTTAAAATGTTTTAAAATTCTATTGCATTACAATTCCTAGTTGCAATATGTAAATTTTAGTGTTCTGCCACCAGGTTGTATAACCCTACTTGCAGAAATAATAAATCTATCTAAAAATAGAATCCAGTAGATGGCAGATCACAGGAAGAGCTTTTGCCCCCTGCTGTATAACTCCAATAAAACGCATTTCTCGCTGCAGGCTTTGAGATACGGGCGAAAACACACTGGGAGATTGAAGACTGACTTCGGTTGATTTCGATCTTTTTTGGATACACTGGAAGCGCGCGTAGTTTGAAGGACAATAAAAATGAATTTCCTCGTCGTAGCTATCTACTAAACATTTGTACTCAAATTTCAAAGTAAATATTTTGTTTGGTAATTACATCCAGAAGAAAAAAGTATGTGTTCCTTCTTTTCTTCCCCTGGGAAACCGTCACTGCAGGGTCCTCTGAGGACTGGTTTTCCTTTCAGCATCACAGGTTCGCTCATATTTATGTATGGAGTGGAGATTTCGGGTTGGAGAGAGAGGATGGGAATAGGGAGAATGCAGGAGATATTTATACGGGACGGATACAGGAGGGATGGATACCTATACATTGAAGAATTTGATGATAAAGTAAAGGGAAAGGAAAAAGATCAAGTTTAAGACTAGGAAAAGGCAAGGCCTAGAACCAGAAGAAAACTGAATAGTTTGAAAGTTGTTATGGAACATCGTTGCCTTCTCGTCCTGTAACCCTCCTACATTGCAGTGCATGGCCAACGTCTCAAAGACTTTTGATTTTTTTCCCTTTTGGAGCAGAAACATCCCCAACAAGCTTCGTCGTTCGAGACGACTGATTCCAGCCGAGAGAATTTGCTCGAGATTAGGCTATGCAAGGGCAAGCATATTATTTGTTTTGTGGCATCTTTTCTAGTTTAATTTTTAACTTCGATTCGTCTCATCAGGTTGGGAACTTTTCGAAAGAAGTATCATGACTGCCGAGGATGTAATCTGGGAGTTTTGGAAAAATATTGAAACATCTAGTACCCCACGGATACACGACACACTTTTGACTCACGTCTTTTGAACTTTAGATTTTAACATTTACAAAAATCTTTCAGATTAAGTTACTATAGAAGTTAAGAAATAATGAAAGGTCAAATAATGTAAGAAATAAGATAATGCTGCTAGGAAGACTATAAATAGGTGTAGGAATGAGTTAAAAAAATAAAAACTGGTTTAAAGCAGATACGTTATGCAGAATTTATAAGGTGGAGAAATAATAAAATTGGAAACACGTTTGTAGAGATGTATGGGCCAACGAGATAATCATGGAAGAATGTTGGTAGCACAAGAAAAGATTAAAATAAGTATGACGGATTCGTAAATTGTAGTTGATTTTATGGAGAATTACAGAATAAGGATAATGAGGTGACAAATTTCGTTTAAACGGAAGTCAACTGGGATGTTCGTGTAGTACAAGAGTTGCAAATAAAAATTGTTAATTCAGTGTGACAGGGAGCCGATGCGATCAAAAGGATCAAAATGCTCTTTGTTGCTCTACCGTTCCCTGCTTCACCTCGAAGAAAGATAAATGCATGTAGAGAAAGTGGTCTTCCAATCCCTTCCTCGGGTCGTACCATGCTGGATAGCCAATTCCTCTGTGGCCAACATTGCCTTGTGTTCATACGCGGACTTGATATTGCTTGGGGAAGCGGAATTAAATTAGGATGCAGACTGTACGTGGTCTTACTGATGCCAGAAACGGAAACGTGTATATAAAAATGCACTTTAAGATCAAGAAAATTAGGACCTTTATTTCCATGCCCTGCATCACAGCTCTTCGTGTACATGATGGTTATTTTCACATGCAATAAAACTATCCCAAAAATCAGTCTTTGAGAACTGTATCAAGGACACGAAAAAAGGATTACCAAAGGCTAGATATACATCTTGCTGGCCGAGTGAAGCAAGCCCGTGTTTTAACTCGACTGTCCCGCATCTGTCTGTAAATCTGTTTGCAACGGAGTCACGACAAAATGCGTTGTTTGATTTTTCAACTTAGATACGATGTTCCTTAAAGTCATTAAAAGCGACGTGTGTGTAAGAATTGTGTAATTTTTTTGACGAAAGAGATCGGTCAACTATTTACAAAACAACTTATAAAATAATGGAGCATCGCAGCCACAACGTACCGCGCGTTTGTCTGAGCAGCGGCAGGAAGGCCTTGGAGACCCGCAACGGGCCCAGGGCGTTCACGTCGAAGAGGCGCTGCACGTCCTTAGGCAACGCCCACTCTATGGGGCTGCACACGAAGATGCCCGCGTTGTTCACCACGCCCCACAGACCTGCGCACACATAGCACACGTTTACGTGTTGCAAGCAAGCAGTTGATCTCAGAGCATAATGAGCGGTCTCTAATCTATTGCGGATGGATGAGATCATCCAATCTCAAAAGTTCCACAGTTACTTGAAGTAAGAATTACGTAGGATAAGAGAGGAATGTTCTCACTTCTACGCTGAGAATTAGGATCCATCAAATCCACTGATAAGCGTGACGAAAAAACAAGCATGGGAACTAGAGAAATGAAAACTTTACAATTTACTTCACAAGGTTTTCCAACAATTGCTCTCAGGACATTGCGCCAACTAAACTATTGCATAGAAATGAGATCCTCTAATATCAAAGTATTTGTAAGCGCGGGTTTTAATCGAAGTTAGAAAGCTATGTAAGAAGACAGGTGAGAAAAGTGAACACCGCTGTAATTATGTTCCTTCAAATGGAGAGATAAACGTTACTTAAAAAGAAGCATAAAACTAGAAATGGGTAAAACTATATAATTTACTCATAGAAGATTTATTTTGTGCGTCGTACATTTAATTTTCAGCATTTTCCGAGAAAACGATATTTTCAGATAATGTTATTGGTATTAGAAAAGCTTTGTACATGTGTGAATGTTTTAGTTATTTTTCAGAGTACGCAATTCTCGGAGTTTTGGAAGAAATATCTTCAGTATATGTGTCTACAAGGTTTCATTCACAACCAATAATTTTCTTTCAAAAGTTTCAAATGCCCTCCTTTTGAGTTGAATCGATATCGTTAAATAATTAAAAACAAGTTAAAGGGTTCTAATACGCAATTATGTCACTATTAGAAGAACTCAAAATCGGCGAAAAGAAATAAAATAAGACACGTACATTACCGAAAATGACTGTACTTAATAAAAAGCAACACAAATATTTATCGTAACTGAAATAGAGCTAAGTCCAACTGTCAAGCGATATGTGACATTTGAAAAGAATCTATAACTTCTCTTTCTTATTATTTATTACATTTGACCCGCTCAGATATTCGCAATTATTTGATGCTAATACTACGATGCATATTGAACGTTTTCTATAGTTTTGGTTTCCCTGCTATGCTTACGTATCTATTTTATATATAACGATTTCCTATTATCATAGTAATATGATGTTCATAACTGATTTCAATAAGATTTACCTTTTAATATGGTATTACCTGAGGACATCGACATACGTGGGACTATATGCAGGGGACTATACTATATGCATTACCTATATGCAGACGGACTGTGCGTACAGATCAGCGATTTTTTGGAAGTTTCTGTTTGACTAATTCTTTGATTGATTGCAATTAAATATAAATTATCAACATTGTTTTCAAATAACAAATAAAATATTTATTGCAATTCAGTCACTAACATTGCCTAATGAACTCACTTTATATTAAATATCGTTCTCGAACATAATTATTCCGTGTACAAATAAATTTAATGTTCTCTCCTTACTTCGTATCTTCGCGCGCATTCAGGGCCTTCTCGGATGAATTCCAGACGAAGAAACCTCCAAGACTTCTTCTTTGTGCGGTCGCCGTGATTATGTATCCTATCTCACCCTGCTCAACGCTCTACTACGTATACGGTGTCTGTTGCTACAGAAAATATCGAATCGCGACTCTGCCAAGTTATTAGCCGGTTCGTCGGATGATTGACAGTAAATTGATATGCTTACGAGATACTTCTCTGGCCTCCGCCTCGGGCGGGCACCTTACCGCGTTATTTCCTAATATACATAAATATAAATGTTCTCGGGATGAAATATTTACGATTTATTCCCTAATCTAATTCGCGTTCTCATGTCATTTGCAAACACATGTCCGTTTTTATTCAGTCCACAAACTGTACGATGTTGTTTAAATTATTCTATCATTATTATGATAATAATAATGATAATATAAAGCAAGTCTATTCGCATATGCACCTTTGAGTTCATGGCAATTGCTAGACTGTGAGAAGAAATTTGCGATCTGACCGATTAGAAAAAAAGAACAGAAGATATTGTAATGGTTATTATTATTATATTTATTATTATTATTATTATTATTACTATTATTATTATAATTATAAGAGGAATATGTTTTAAAAAGATAGATAGATGGAAGTCGTGGCAATTTACAAAATAGGAGACAGCAGAAAATGTAGGTTGTTATACTACACGAGAAAAATATACAAATATCAGTTGTCTCCACATGGAGTGCAAAACATATTGTCATAAAATATAATTTTTGTTCTGAAATAATAGAATTGATGTTCATCAGCGAATAAGACTTCTATTGTAGCAACCTTGTCATCGGCATTAAAAATATTTTAACTGTTTGTACTTACCATAAGTCTGCTAATTATCCATTTGACATGATATATGATTGCTTATATTGATCACGGTTCAAACTGCTTTAGAAACCCGGGGCAAAGTAATAAAATGGGCCCCCATACCTACCTTTGAAATAAAAATATTTCAAAAGATAACCCTAATTCACACTCTAGATAAGAAAACTGACTAAAATTAATCCTGATAGAACACTGACGTAAGATACTTATCAATTCTTGAGAATGGAAAAAGAATCTGGCTCTTGGAAATTATTATGCAAGAAACTATGGCCTAATATTGTGCAATATTATGTATTTAATTTTTCTGGAAATATTTTTGCGTATTGGTAGCTCTGAGCACTGTAGAAACAATCGACAGCCTCAAGAAAAATGCACCATCGGTAATAATGTTGCAATATAATATATAATAACATTAATAATATAATAACATAAGGTAATAATGTTTATAATTATAAAAATATTTATGAATTAATACTATTATTTCTGGTGTAATTAGTGTGTATTGTAATGAATAATAGTTATTTTGTAAATGTTATAATTCATTGTATTTATTACGAATTATTAAATATAATTTAATATAATAAGGGTAACTTTTTCATACTTTTATTTAGCATTCCAAATTTTTGTATTTGACACCTGAAGGGGACCCGAAGCTACTATTTTTGACTTTCATTTTCCTGCTAGGACATGCACTGAGAAATTTTCGATATTTGAAAATACACTGTCTCCAACCAGGATTAAACCTGTGAACAGTGCACTAAACATCATACCTCTGCTGCGTGATTCGAATGATGGAAGTTTTATTTTTTATATAAAATATATTTTAAAAGAAATTGATATTGCTCTAGACCTTGCTTTATTTCTATACTCGAGTCTTCTGAAAAACTTCTAATCTCTTTACTTCTTCTTTAACCCTTTCTACCTATTTTTATTGTATTCTAACATGGTACTAGTTTGCATGAAGTGGCTTCATAATACTCAGCATCAAATAACGAACATCACGAACTCACCATTTACTGGTAGATTCTCCTCCACAAAAATTCGAGCTTCTTCCACCTGCGAATAATGCGAAATTCATTAGTCATATTGCAAGCAGACAACCAACAATGCAAAATGTGACTGCAGTTTAAATGCGTCTATTCATCTGATGTATGCAATCAAACCTTGCAACGTTTTTTATATTATTCTCTACCTATTCTCACAAAAAATTGAGACTGTTTGTATTGAGAGAACTATGTACTTAACGGTATCACCTTTGCACGTTGCAAGTGTTACAAAATATATTTATGTTAAAAGTAACAAAATAGTTGATAGTTGTAACTTAGAATTACGAAACTGTAAAGACGCACGTAAATTTGATTATAATGCCTTATTAAGTTTCTTTGTCACCCACAAACCACTATTTACCTTCAGGAGTGACTATCACCACCAACTCCAACACGTATGGAAAGTCGTCGGAAACACGAAATCATCGATTGAGATCACGGGGGCATTACTGACTAACGTATAGTTGATGACGTCGAAGGACCTTTATCGCCGTGAAGGAAGAACATTGTCACCCCCTGAGGGTATCACATACACTACACTAACGGATCTAATGGCCATAGGAGTAGTCGCGCTCGGAGACATGAAATTATCGATTAAGATCACGGGGGAAGTACTAACCACATGGAAGATGTCGAAGGACGCTTTTCTTCGTGATGCAAGAAACTGACACCACCTGAGAGTCCAACATGCACTACACTTACGGGTCTAATGGCCATAGTAATTTACGAGCTCGGAAACGCGAAATAATCGACCAGCCTCACGGAAGCGTCGCTGACCTGTTTGTCGTCCGTGACGTCGAGCTGCAGCACGTGAACGCGTGGCAGGCGCCGGAGCTCGACTGCGCCGTCGCCGTTTGCCGCCTGCAGGCAGCCCGCGAACACGACGCAGCCCAGCTCCTGCAGGCGCCGCGCCAGCGCCAGCCCGAAGCCCGAGTCGCAGCCCGTGACGAGCACCCCGCGCCCGGCCGCCGGCAGCCGCCGCGCCCCCGCCTTCAGCGCCACCAGCGCCCCCAGCGCGCTCGCACACGCGAACGTGCCCCACGGGGACGTGAACGTGGCACCTGTGGGGATCAGGCACATACAGTAGTGCTCAAAGAAACCGAATCACCGAAAGAAAATGACTCCACTCGTGGAGATCTAGGACTGCTCTACTGATGCTACAGACTACAGTATCTACAGTAACATCTTACAGTTTTTTGTTTTGATGGTTTCTAATGAACTAACAATTTGTTTTAGCGTATTTCGTGTAGAGAAAGAAATAATATAACACGTTGACTTGAGATATGCCAATATTGAAGATGTTCTTTAGTCGTATAGTAAACTTGATCCCATTTTAAATATAATTAGCATAATCTTTTTTTATTTTGTTTCTTTTCTTACAGTGAAGTGAATTCCGCCAAGTCAATATATTTTATTCAAAAATATTATCGTTATTCTTACGATTTACTATTGGTTTTAAAATGTTTTTAGTTGTGCAATTAATATTATTGTGTACGTGTTCATTAAACGATGTCTGATGTTAATTCATTTCTTAATTTAAGATGTTTTACCTTACGAATCTTACTTATGTGTAAACACATTTAAATTATTCATTTTCTCACTAGTTAACGTTCATGCGAATGTTTCACACGACATTAAGTACTTAATCCAGCAAACCTTCCAGGTGCACTGTGACGTCATCACGTTTTATTATTGTCTATATATGGCATACTATACTCGAGCCGTGTTTGACATTTAATAGGGAGTTTGTCTAACAAGGAGCTTCGTAAATCACGTTCAATAATAGATTTTCACTACAATGAATCAGACTTTGATTCTAAAACTGGTCTGATGTCCACTTGTGTCTTTCTTCGCAGTTCCCTTCCAGTGTGATCCTCTTCAAAGCTGGAAGAACAATTATATGTTTTCATTACGGTTATTTTTTTATTTTCGAATGAGCCACTAAGGACTAAACTTGTTCAACTATCTGCTTCTTTCTTCTTTTGTCTGCGTCCATATCTCTTTCATTATGGCCCGATGTTTCTCTTTCTTCTCCTCAGTCCAGTTATTTTTGTTTTCTTTTTTGGCTAGTCCTCAAACCCTGGGATTTTCTTAAGTTTTGCTCTCATTGATGATCATAATTGCTGGTAGTGTAATTTTGAGCTTTTCCAAGTCCTTTTCAACTTCTTTAAATCACGTATTGGTCATCTTAAATTTTGTGAAATAATGAAAGAGTCTTCCAGTTAATTTCTGGGCATGTAATCTGTAAAGATGTCGATAGAATGTAATTCTTCTTTTTCTCAACTTCACCGTAATTTTCTCAATATTTTTGAATAGTTCTTTGTTGTGACGTCGCTGGGACTTAAATCCAATTTCAATTGGACCCAAAATTTTCCTGAGAATATTGCGTTAGGTAGTTTCCAGTACCTCAAACATTTCCTTATCTTGGGTTAGACATTCCGCTGCATACAATGCCTCTGATCTACTAACTACTTCTGAATAATGCCGAAGTTTTGAATTGCTGGAACTTTATTTATTATAAACATTTTTAATTAAGTTTGCAGCAAACGTCGATTTGTTAATTCTAGATTTAATGGCTTCTCTCTCCGAGATATTTTCCTTAATAATTTCTCCAAGATATTTGAAATTTTTAGTTCTGGATATTATACCATATTTTGTCTTCAATATGTTTATTAATGAAGGAGATAATGTCTGCCATTTTGTGAAAGTGAAATTAGTGACTTATCACGCTCTCGTTTTAAATAAAAAAAATACATACTTTACATCATGTTAGTTTTAGAGTCCTAAAAATCGACAATGAAAATACATTCATACTTTGTTTCATTTTATTTGTGCAGAACAACTCCGTTAGCTATTACCTTCATTTCACTTCTATATGTACAGTGAAATATTAGCTACAATTGTACGCCAGTACTAGAACGCCTCAATTGTAATTATGTAAATGTAAATATTTAAGTGGTAACGCGGAAGAGCAGGCCTTACGGCCTGAGCCTCGTAAGAAATAAAGGCATTATTATTATTATTATTATTATTATTATTATTATTATTATTATTATTATTATTATTATCATCACTTTTCGTTCTAAAGAAATCAGCTAATTTTATAAAATTAAAATAAACTTATCATGCACATACACACGACAGTTATGTAAGCATCTTATTTGTGTAATAATTTTTAATTCATAAAAAAACATATTGTGTGTTGGATTATAAAAAAATTCGCGACAATTGACAAACACTTAAAGCAAATGCACAATTAGCACTAAGTGGCAACTTAAATATAGAAGATAGACGCTCGAACACATTACCTTCATTTTGCGATCACGCACTCGGGTAAAAATGATGCCTTCTTTGCGGCTTTGGTGGTATTACGATTAGAGCATTGATCTGTTATATCCAAGTTTGCGGATTCAAACCCGAACGATGCCGCGCAAAAAGGGCGAAACAAATCTTTGGTACGCCTTCCTTCGGGGAAGAAGTAAAGCCTGCTGTTCCATGTTGTAGATTGACTGCATGTAAAAGATCCTTAAGCCTAAAGTAGGTCTCTGAGATAAATACAAATCACGTGTTTCGTCGCCCGAGGGATACCTTCTTTCTCCACTTCTTGGTGAAAGGAGCTTAGCGAAATTTGCGTGGTCAGGCGGAAGGGATCTGATGGTCTGAGTCTCGGCACTTAAAAATTGAGTTGAATAAAACACTTACCGAAGAGCTCAAGGAGCCAGAGCAACACGACCGCTGCGGCGCCTGCCTGCAGGCCTGTGGTGGCGGCTCGGTACGCCTCGTGCACATAAGGCGCTCTCATCGCTTCGGCTGGTGGCTTCGACGTAAAATCCTTTAATGCGACCGCATCGGCCGCCTCGCTGCTTGTACTGACGGCTTTGCGGAATAATCCTGATGGGGTTTTGATTTACAATGGAGGCGAAGGACGCCGAGTTGCTTGGAGACGGCCTGAAATCCCACGCACAGCGAGGTTATCTAAATCGTCATTCACTGCAAGCTTTTTTTAACGTTGTTGTATCCATTTAATTAAACCGGATTGGTAAGCATGTTAGGCAGAAATATGTGTGTTGATTGTACTATAAAAGACTGAAAAATTGGACACTTATCAGAAATGAAACTCAAATGCAACAGATAATCGTCGGAGTGACGTATCATAGACATGTTTTTCACAAAAAAGTTATTCACTCGTGATTCAAACGTCCAACCGTATTATTCAAGCTAGTCATGATAATTCATGTCCCGAACGTGGCATTTGTGATTGTTCAAATGAAATATTTAGATATTAAATTAATATTACCTGTTTGCTACGTGCCACCAAATTATTATTCATTGAAACAAGACAATGAACACCAAATGTAATATCTAGTTAAAAATATTCAAAAATTATAATTATAACACAATAAAATAACATATTTAATTCACAAAAATATCAATATAAAAAAATTTATAAAGCGGCTGGCAACAACAAAGAAAACGTTCAAAATTACCAAACTCGCTGTAAATATTGGCCTAGCTCTGTGCGTGGTGGGCAAAATGAACTCGCCACAGACAGGTGAACACTAACCGAGTACAATTTAGCTGGTTCACTGCAAACTACGTTCACAGTGAAAGGTGAGGCATATTTGCAGCCCGGCCATAATACTCGTAGACGCATTAGTAAAGCACATATCATTCTAGACGTCAGAGAAAGCAATCGCATGGAAGTTGTGCGCAAGTCATTTACGTTTTCATCTTGTAAATGAAAGATAAGATAAGATAAATTTATTTAAACTTCAATTGGGTAGAACCCGGTGACATCTAATTACATAAATAAGATAATATAACCAACATGCAAATTATATAATAATACTAACACTAAAACTAATAATAATAATAATAATAATAATAATAATAATAATAATAATAATAATAATAATAATGCTTTCGATCCGATGGCCGAAATCACTGAGACGATGGTAGTGCAGTGGCGGTCACGGACCAAATGCTCGCGGGTTCGAGTCCATGCCTCGAACATGGTTGAGTTGTGTGTTATGTGTATGTTCGTGTGTGTCTATATCATCATCATCATCATCATCATCATAATTTCTTACCATCCAGATCCTGGGGTATAAAAATGGACTCATCATTAAAATGATGATTCCCCCTATAGAAAAGTAAGATGCACCTACCCCGATAATAAAGTCTGAGCCCCAATTGGATGCACGTACCGCATGCACCCATGATGGCATTCCGTTATCGTTCTATTTGTGAAAGAAATTCGCGACATCCGATCTCTGCTGTCTTCAATTTATTTTATGCCTGTGATCCCTTCTCTGATGTATGTAGAACTACTTTGCCGCCGATTAATTTCTTTCCAATCTGGATGACAGCTATAAGCTTTATACAAAGCGCAGAGTCGTGCTACTAATCGCATGTTTTCGAGTGAATCCCACCCTGCCATTTCTTGTCCCTGAAAGTCAGTTTAGCTGCTCTATGCTGAGCCGCGTGGTCCAGTAGTAATATGCAGGAAGACAAATTCGCTCTGAACATCACTTCCACTTCAGCAATCCCTGTCCGCATTACGCTTACCTCAAGAGAAATCAAAGAGATAGAATGGAATATTTCGCCAGAATATTCTCTTCGAGTTCAATATAGACGCAAAGGCTTCTAGGAACATTTGCACGTGTATAAAGTGTACCCATTGCAACTCTACGCCACTCGAATACGTAATTCTGACCAGAAAGGAATTTCTTGAAGTGTAGGAAAAGATGTAAATCGCTTGGGATGAGATCCGGACTGTAGAGCGAACGGTCAAACACATTCCGGCG